TATGTTCAAGGAAAACTGAGATCTCATCCAGGCCTAACCTATAAAGGTCAAGATAACATACTAATTAGTTTTATGTAAGTGTAACTTATGCAAGGCCTTATATTTTGTATTCTGTGGTTCTTATACCATTTCATATAATGCCTCTGAATCTCAGCCAGAGTTCACTGGTGGCCCTGCCTCCCCCCTAAGATGGGCCCAAAAAATTTAGGGCCCCAATAAGTGGGCCTATTTGGGTATAACTTAGCATTTTTTGGCCTTATTTTTAATTTTAGGCCAAATTTTCAAGAATTCTTTTTCAGACTAGAAATCCCCCCCTCCCCTAGTTAGTTTCCAGATCCACTTAATCTTCATTACTTCCAAGTAAATCTAATTTTTGAGCTTTTTGAAAAAGGCCTTTATTAAAAGTCTATGACCCAATGTTCATAGCATCGTATTCAGGATTTTATATAAAATTTTGGAGAGCCCATTTTTGTAGAAGCCTCATATAGACCCTATGGTAAGAGGCCACCTCATAGTGTAAAGCCTAACGCAGACTACAAAACACTCACTTCAGAGCAAAGCCTCACAAAGAAATATTTACTCAAGAGTAAAGTCTCACAATGAAATACTCAATCTAAAGGAAAGCCTCACAATAAAATACTCAATCTAGAGTAAAGTCTCACAATTAAATACTCAATCTAGAGTAAAGTCTCACAATTAAATACTCAATCTAGAGTAAAGTCTCACAATGAAATACTCAATCTAGAGGAAAGCCTTACAATGAAATACTCAATCTAGAGTAAAGTCTCACAATGAAATACTCAATTTAGAGCAATGCCTCCCAATGAAATAGCCTCACAATTAAACAGAGTAAAACAAGGCTAACATTTAACCTGGATTAGTAATTTTACCTGTTATTCCACAACGCCCTCGAAGAAGGTTTTTGGCATTTGGTTTTAATATTTCATATTAAAAATGCATTACTTGATTTACCTTCCCAGACTTTATGAATTAAACAGAGTTTACATCATTCATAGTACAGCTGCAAACAAGATGAATTGTGCAGATCTCCATGTGTTATTTGCATTTTGAGTATTATAAGGGTGTTATTTCTATCACTCCAACCAGCCGGATATTTTGTTGTTGGTTTCTACCTTTAGAGTCTTAACTGCTGAGAAAAGTTCATTGGCTTATTACATGTATATCAGTAAGCACTTCTTAAGATCTGGAAAGCGACATGATAGAGTTATCTTGGACCTTTATACTGATCTTAATTTTTATGATGATATTGAAATTTACAGCGAAATTTACATTTACAATGATTCTAACTTTTTATGATAATCATTATAACTGTTATGATGATGATAATGTTATATTATAATCTTTTGCATGATCTTTATTATCCTCCGTTTTGAAAAATGGCCGCCATTGACATGTACGTGTGTGCGATTTAGTTGAAATTTTATATGTGCCTATTGCCTATTTTACACTTTCTGGTGACAATTTGGCTATAGTGAGCAACCATGTGGCCATTTTTTGTATTTTATTTTATGATTTTTGCTATATACTTTGTTTGTAAAAATGCCAGCCATCGATGTTCTTGATTTTGCTACGCTTTGGGATGCTGTTGTCTTGTTCATCAATTTTTATAGTGATCTTAACCTTGGTAATAATCTCGAATTTTAAAATGATTCTGATCTTTTGAATGATCTTGAGATTTGTTATCATTTTGAATTTTCTAGTTATCAAAACTCTTATAATGAGTGAGTAACCTTCTTACTGTACAAGAAATATCAGGAAAATGATTAAATTTTGCAAAATGAAATATTAGGCCTCTTTAAAAACAACGATTTTATCACTGAAACAAAACTCTATGTTTGGCAATATTTTAGCACAATCTTTTCCATTCCATTTGAAAGGCAGTCGAAATGTTGAGACATGCGCAGACCTCTATTTAGTGATATTTTCATTTCAAATATGGCGGCCAATCCGATGTCTGACGACCCTTACAAAGAATCTAGGCAGTTTGCATTTTTACCTCCTGTGAAATAACAAGTGGAATTTAGTCGTTGTTTTGTGTTTTATTATCATTCTGCATCGTAATTCTATGTGATGTGGTGTTGAAATGTCAGCAGAAATACATATCCATACGATAATCGAGTGAATCAGATAACAGATTTTTCGAAAACCCGTCTCGTGCTAAGAGTGTAAAAACTTGTATTAACATACTCAAAAGGGCCAATGAGCACATCAATGTCAAGCTAAATCAATGTTGTGTCTAAAACAGGTACCCGATCTACTCAAAAGAGCTTGTCATTCACGTATACACGCTTAGCAAACACGGCGAAATGATCTGAATCTTGGAATTTCGTTCCAGAGCTAGTAATGTTTGCTCCGGTCTTCGTCATAAGTGTCATCAGACTTCACGCATGCTCAGGAGAAAAACCATCAACCAATAATGTTTTATAAATCAATTTTGCGCATGCGCCTTACAACGGTAAAGAATTCGTATTTATAAACGAACCAATTTGAGATAACCCGATATCAGTCAGAGAAATCTGACGATCTACGAAACTCAGTTCAAAAAATCAAATGCGGACTGACGGCGTATTCTACTATGTTTGGATCTAAGATTTTCAGTATAGATAAAGTCTTTTATGATCTTTCGAATGAGGTTAGTCTCTAGTTCGAAAGACAATCGTATCAACTTGAACAAAAGTTGAGTTTTGACGAAAAATTTTAACATGCGCAGAAGTCCCATTTTCGTTATACCATATTGACTGAAAGGGTACAAGGTACAGGTAGGAGCACTGAATGGATCTGTTCCAATTCCAATCTCAGTATAACAACTGGCATGGAGTAAATGTGCAAAGTAAGTTCTGCTCTACCCTTTTCAAGAGAAGAAATTCAGCTATACTCTTCGAGAGAGAGAGAGATAATTCTTCAACCTATCTTATGAATATGTATATAAATCACCACATACAATTTTATGTCTCGTTGAAACACTCATACAACCCTAGGCTACATTAAAGATTGTTAAGAATCTAAAAAACTAAAATGCATTAATTTTTGATCTTTTGGTCTTACCTAATTATCTTCTCTTCCAAACATATGCAAAGCTCCATTGAAGACTATATTTGAGATTATTAAGAACTCCTTTGTATTATAACTGTAAAATTATCTGTTATTGTTAGAGTGTAATGTGAGATGAGCTGATGGAATTACAGGGTAGTCTGCAGCTTGATGAGAGAGCCATACAAGAGCCAGTAACATTTGCTTTACAGGTTATATGAACATGTTAACCCTAATGAAATAATTTGAGATTTCAGCTAGATAAACAAATGGAAACATATGATAAAGCTCTATTTTTAGAAATCAAACGTCAATGTCAATTTTTCTTGTTAAATAATGGCATAAGATATCTTAAGGCAATCGGTACAAAATAACAATTCCAGATTTCTGCACCGTCATTCTCTACCTAAATAATTTCTACAAATATTTTATTTAATTAGCAACATTTTTCTACACATTTTATAACAAAAAAAAAGCATGATGTGAGGAGACAGAAACTGATCCTTGAGAGGATCAAACATTTCTGATGGTTATGATAGTTTTCCGATGGTTATGAAAGTTTTCTGATTGATAAGAATTAATCTGTTGATAGCTATGATAGTTTTCTGAGAGTTGTGATGATGGTTATGATTTTCTAATGGTAAGATAGATTTCTGATGGTTATGTTTGTTTTCTAATGGTTATGATTTTGTCTAATGGTTATGATTTTGTCTAATGGGTAAGATAGATTTCTGATGGTTATGTTTGTTTTCTAATGGTTATGATTTTGTCTAATGGTTATGATTTTGTCTAATGGTTATGATTTTGTCTAATGGGTAAGATAGATTTCTGATGGTTATGTTTGTTTTCTAATGGTTATGATTTTGTCTAATGGTTATGATTTTTACTTATGGTTAAGATAGATTTCTGATGGTTATGTTTTCTAATGGTTATGATTTTGTCTAATGGGTAAGATAGATTTCTGATGGTTATGTTTGTTTTCTAATGGTTATGATTTTGTCTAATGGGTAAGATAGATTTCTGATGGTTATGTTTGTTTTCTAATGGTTATGATTTTGTCTAATGGGTAAGATAGATTTCTGATGGTTATGTTTGTTTTCTAATGGTTATGATTTTGTCTAATGGTTATGATTTTGTCTAATGGTTATGATTTTGTCTAATGGGTAAGATAGATTTCTGATGGTTATGTTTGTTTTCTAATGGTTATGATTTTGTCTAATGGGTAAGATAGATTTCTGATGGTTATGTTTGTTTTCTGATGGTTATGTTTGTTTTCTGATGGTTATAATTTTTTCTAATAAGTAAGATAGATTTCTGATAGTTGTGATTATTTTCTGATGGTTAAATAATGTGTTAAATTGTAGACGTCATAACCTGAAGCAACAAGTGCACTAGTGCAGACATGTGTACCGTTTCCTCTTATTAATTAAAGCAATCTGTCGGATCTCACATTGTAGTTCTCTATATCAATGTTTTTGTAATCATTTCTACCTGCAATGTAAATATTATTTTTTCTCTAAAACAGTGACCTGTACTAACTTACAGAACCTATACAATAACTTTTTATCACATAATTTAATATTATCCTTTTATACATCTTATATGTAAGCTGTATTGTATTAAAATGTATTCTCTCTGTACAATAAATATACAATTCGCTACTTTATAGGGAATATGAAAAGAATTATTCAATTTGTGAACTTATATGTAATACTCATCCATTCATTCATTTTTAACTTATTTAGTATAAATGTATGTTCATTTATCTAGTGTTTTGTATATGCAATACTGATATGATAGTACCCTTTGCATTTGTTTGACTTCATTTCTTAAAAGAGAGCTTCGTCTTATATTTTATAACTAGACTGTGTGCAGGGTAATATGATAAACATATAGTCATTTGAATGAACAATATGCATAAAAATAACAATTTTGTTTTTTATTTTCAGTATATTGCCAGCAAAGGAAGATGAGCTAAAACAACAACTTCAATGTGGAGTGTAGTAAAGGAAACTAATGAAGTGCAGTTACTATAGCAAATGATCAAGTGTCTATCATTGCTTCATTCTCTATAAAGGCACAAGAGGTTGAAGGACTAAAAACATATTCCAGGAAGAATTCATAAACAGAGGTATCAGACGCACCTCAAAGTAGCTACCTATTCACATACCATAAATACGTTAAATAGTTGCGCTCATTCAAAGATTTGTGGACAAAATATTTATATCACATATTTGAGGCTTTATGATAAAAGACTTCTCAGTTCCAGTTTTACATACCAAACAACCACAAAGCATTCAAAGACATTACCCTGGAAAAAGCCAAAGTAGGAACTTTTTAATGCGATGTGATGACCAGCAAATCATAACTCGATTTATCATAATTTATTGCAATAGATTACTTGGATTAAAAAGTAATTTTAAGGTGACAGACCTCTTCAGGAGATTTTATTACTGGAGTTCGCAGACCACTAATCCTGATGAAAGAGACAATGAGTGGTCGTAAAACGCTACAAAGAAATGGTAGCGGAGGTACTGAGTACCACATAGCTCTCTTGGGGGCTCTGGGGGTCGGCAAGTCAGGTAAGAGATAGATTCATAATATTTTTTGTGAAATACAATTTTATGACACACAGCTTTTTGTGGATAGTGTCCAGCAGTTGGTGTTTGGCATTTGGTGTTTGGTGGTCAGCAGTCGGTATCTGTAACAAATGGTAGGTGGTGACATTTTACATGTTTATGCCATGTTCAACAATTTCCAAAGCTGTGGAGTATTGAAAGATTCACCATTAAGGAGTCCATTGCTTTATATGATTTACATACTTTATCATAGGAGTTTTGGATATCTTATTTTGAAATGTGATGCTTTTGCTTCCTAATTCTACAAATAATCTAAGTTAGTCTAAGTTAGGTTAGGGGGTCTCATCTGTACACAGCTACAATGTATCTGTCATGAGAAGAACAAAGGGCAATATGTAAAAAACTACAAACCTCTTTGAATCATGTGAACCATCAAAATGAATGTTTCATTATACTTTATAATAACTCATACATGAACTTGTTAATAACCGTGCTCTGTAATTACATCTTCCACTTAAAGAATCTTGTATTATTAGACCATAATATGAACTTTTGCTCATGGAATTTTTCTTGAGTAAATACAAATTTTTATGTAAATAATTATTAATAATCTTATGGAATATTCATGTGTCATTTTGATTAGAATTGCATGATGCCAATTAGCAAATTAAATTAATTAAGATATTAGTCAAGTTGACGAAAAAGTATATATACTTTTCAATATTCTTATCTAATATTTAAAACTTAGAGGATGGTTTATGTTCAAATGCTTTTAGTTGCTAGTCATTAATCATAAGTTTGTGTTCTGTTTTTCTTAATCCCCTTGTGTCTATACCTCCACTTGTAAATTACCTCACATTCAAATACCAACTAAACACAGGTAGTGTTAAATCTGTGTTTAAAAAGACCAAAGTTTAGAAGTTATATGCAATGCTGGAATCACCAAAGTTACCTGGGGTCATTCAAGGTCAAAGGTCAAGCATTAAGTCACTTCATACAAGACCTCGGGGAATTGTAGTAGGTGAATTCTCGAGACTTTGGATTGAGTTCTGAGGACTTGGGGTAGGTGGATTCTCGAGACTTTGGATTGAGTTCTGAGGACTTGGGGTAGGTGAATTCTAGAGACTTTGGATTGAGTTCTGAGGACTTGGGGTTGGTGAATTCTCGAGACTTTGGATTGAGTTCTGTGGACTTTGGGGTAGATGAATTCTCGAGACTTTGGATTGAGTTCTGTGGACTTGGGGTAGGTGAATTCTCGAGACTGGATTGAGTTCTGAGGACTTGGGGTAGGTGAATTCTAGAGACTGGATTGAGTTCTGAGGACTTGGGGTAGGTGAATTCCCGAGACATTAGATTGAGTTCTGAGGACTTGGGGTAGGTGAATTCCCGAGACATTGGATTGAGTTCTGAAGACTTGGGGTAGGTGAATTCTCGAGACTTTGGATTGAGTTCTGAGGGCTTGGGGTAGGTGAATTCTCGAGACTTTGGATTGAGTTCAGAGGACTTGGGGTATGTGATCTCTAGAGACTTGCATGGATTGAGCTCTGGGGACTTGGGGTAGGTGAATTCTAGAGACTTGCATGGATTGAGTTCTGGGGACTTGGGGTAGATGAGTTCTCGAGACTTTGGATTGAGTTTTGTAGACTTATTTTAACAGAGGATGCAGCTCTTGAGCAAGTTAGTCTGATTGTTCAATAAATACTCCAGAATTACATGATAACATAGTCTAGCATGATAAAACAGACCTGGGTTACAGTTAACCTTTCTGGAAGCAAATAAGTTAAGATTTATAGGGCTATTTGCATACTAGGTTATAGCCTGGTTCAATTGTAAAGTGGTTGAATATATACTTTTACATGTACATTTTTTGCCTTAAAAGGCCCATTTTTTGAGGCCCCACAAAATTTTGGGGCCCAAAAACTGAACATTTTTTCTAGGCCCACTAAAGGTGGGGGGGGGTGGCCCCCTGGATCCGCCATTGGCACCTGTGTTATAAATATGTCTTGATTTTCAAATGACATCATTTAAAAAGTTTCTTTATAATTTAAAAAGTTAAATTGTGTCATGTGACAAGTTAACTTTTTATATGTATAGATTAGAAAATGTAAAGTTAGCATTTAACTTTGGAACCCAGTCATTTAATCTAAGTTAATTGGTATTTTATCCTCACTCTATTTTTTCCTTTCTTTAATAGGCAGTAGACAATGTTTAGTGGATCAATATTGACTTATGTTAAAGATGAGTTGGCTGACCTTAGATGCTTTCAGCTAAACCTGGCCAGCAATTATTTAAACATGTCAAAATATTTAGGAATCTGTTAATTTGATCCTCTTGCAACTATTATAGGCTATTTTGGGTTGAGTTTATTGTCAAAATACTGTATAATACAATCATTGGTATCTTTGAGTAATTCTACTTCCACTTTTGACCAAGAAAACAAATGCAAGTGGTGAAAGTGAAAATTCTTTTAATGAAATGAAAGAAATTATTTCACCGAATCCTATGAGATATATGATAGCTACATGTAAATTATATTTGTTTGTATCTCTGATATTTGGAACCACAGCTTCTATTTTTATTGACTCCAACATTTTTGTAGATGATGTTATGTGGTTGGCAATCAGCAGTCTGTGTTAGGCTTCTGTAACAAATGGCATGTGGTGACAAATTGCATGTTATAGCCTTGTTTATTTAACTATTTTGATTTACCAGACATTCAGCCTTGTTTTATTATTTTTGTGTTTTGTTCAGTTAATTTTCCCTTACCTTAGACTTTTATTTTTAAATTTTAATTTTTAAAGAAGTGTTTCAATTTACAGAAAAAAACCATTGTTCATTTTTATATCTAAACATTGACCATTGACAACTGCTCAACCTTCCAATTTATCTCAAGATAAAATAAAATTCAAGAAGGACCTCTGGGTTGTTTTATGTTTTCAAATATTGCTCTTTGTATTTTCATTTGATCATCCAACTTTGAGAAACAAAACCAATTCTTGGGATTTTTTAGCTTTCTCTGAGAGTTCACCTCAAGCAGCATGCTCCTCTGACGCAGGTAGTTATACAAACCTATCAATATCAAACTCCTTGTATTAATCATCACTAGACTCAGTAAATAAAATGTTGATAACATCTTGATTAAAAGCTTCATATAAACCAGTAAACATAGAAACAAATAGGGAATTGAATTAACAAGTATAATGTGTATGGATTAAGTTTTTTATAAATGCAAAAAATTGAGAAGATTCCGATCACTGTGAAATTAGCACTGATGATATGAGATTTAATCTGTGGGATTTTCCATTCTTTGAATAGTGTGTGTATAGATGCTCAGTAGTAGTAGAACTATTAAGCAGTATGGTATCATATTTGATGGGCGTTATTTTTACAGAATTGGCATTTGGAACATGCCAAATTAATGGTCTATTTCCTGGGGTATTAGTCAAAAGTAATTAATCTACATGGTAATGGTATTTTCTATTTTGATGAACAATTTACGCTGACGTAAATACTAATGGATATCGTAATTTGTTGGTTTGTTTGTAACTTAACATCCCATTGTGTATTGAAAATTATTTTCAGTAGGAACAAATCCTTTTTGCAAAAATAGCATTTTCATCGCCAAAAGTTCATTGCCAAAATATTCACTTGAAATAAAGCAGATGCGAGTAAGTAGTTACCAGTTTCACCATCAGGTGACTTGTTTAGGTCAGATAGCATGGCGTGTATAGTAGAATGTTCCCTTTAACTCAAATTACATCTGTTTTAGTGGTTCAATTTTCATATAACCCTTATGTACCTTATTGTTAAGTAAATTAAAATATGTCCAGTAAAAGAAAATGTTATCTGTCCAATATAAAAAAAGATATTTCACTTTTTGTGATTTTTGGGGAATCAACCCGAACTAGAAGTCACATTTTCAAAAAAAATTAAATTTTCAAAGTTGATAAACAATTTTCGAAACCATATTTCTAGATGTACTTTTACATGTAGATATGAATTTTGAATACTGTAGATTGGGTTAATTTGGCGCCCGCTTTAATTTGGCGAATTTGGCGAAATTGAAAAATTCGCCAATATAAATCTTCGCCAAAATTTAAAATGAATCCCCGGGAATTATCTAGAGTATTTCCTCCAGTGTATTTAGGTCACTTCCGGTTTAGTTTCTTTCAAAAATATGAAAAATGTCTCTCATAAATTGGCTCAGAACTGGTCAGTCACTCATTAATATTCAGGGAAAAACTAGAAAGGAAAAGCGTGGTATAGTAGCAGCATCGATCGAGGTGCAAAATGTAAAGGATGATCGCCAGTGGTCCTCAAAAGAAAAATGGACATAGCCAAACTTATCCATTTACATGGTAATTCGCAAACAGTGCGTAAGTTAATTTTCTTGCATATCCGCCAAATTAAATAGCCGCCAATATGCCAAAAATGGCAAAATCGCCAAATTAAGTAGCGCCAAATTAACCCAATCTACAGTATTTAATGACGTAAATCAAGATTATTTCTACTCGCATCTAGTCTATTGAATGATATTATCTTATTTTTCCAGCATTGATAAAAAGACAAGACTTGGACACTTCGCAAAGTGTTACTGTTAACTTAATCAATTTACAAACTGGCCTATTGGGGGCCCCCCTATTCGACCGCAGTTTCACCTTTATAAAAAAGTAATGAAACCCATAATGAGCAAAAAGTAGCAGTTAAATAGATCCACAAGAGAATACTGACTCTGTAAACCATACCAATTAAATGTCAAACCATAATTTTCAACCAGTCACACTACATAAATTTATTTGAATTTGTGCTAATGGCTGCAAAAGTCATTCTACCCCATATCACTTACATTTGACTCTTCATATTTCAGATAAAAATAATAAAAATCTACCATCTTCAACTTTTACCCTCTAGTGTTGAATGATTGTTGTTTATATACAAGTATATGGAAGAAGATAACAAACTCTCCTGCCTCTTGAAAATGTCTAGTTTTCAAAATTAATGCCACTTGCGTTGAACTTGAACCTTTGGATTGGAATTACAAGCTAATTTGCTTTTATCTCTCAAAAAACACTTTGTATTTGTAGGCTGATAATTGGGATCATTTCCAGTTTTTCATATGAGCTTCTTCTGATAATTTCAGTTTGTTTGAAGTCATTCACTAAATGCTATATATCATTGTGTATAATAGTCTGTAGATTGGGTACAATTACATGTGGTATAATTATCTATGTAACTAAACTACGGGAAATGTTGGCTAAAATGTTAGCTAAACCCTGGTTTATATTGAATAGAGCCAGCTTCGTCAAAGGCATAAATGCATTTACATGATTAAAAATGTACAAACCTTATGTCACTATCAGAAGTGGTGACATATTGTTATAGTCTCCAATTTTTTCTTCTGGTGACACTTTGCATGTTAATGCCTTGTTTGAGGTTTGAATGGCTCTGAAAAATCTCAGGACATAAGCCATACTAATACCATTAAAAAAATTAAACACAGCCAAGCTACTTGGGCTTTATCCATTTAGTAATGACAGTTGCAACTAAAAAAATTCCTAATTCATTTGATAAAACTGTCAACTGCTGCTATCTTTGTTTTAAATGTTACCCCTTCTTGTTTTTTTATGATCAAACATTTTAAATGTTGTGCAATTGTTTTAACAAGAAGCATTTTTATATTTTCAGCATTAACAGTCAAGTACATCACTAAGAGATTCATCATGGAATATGATCCATTCTTAGGTGAGCTGTTTAAATATGTATGCATGAGAAATTGCTTTGGCCAATCAGAAGGTTTAAGTAAGAGTCAATGCCCACTTCTTTGAAAAAAAAACACATCTTTGAAAAACTCCACTTTCAAAAGGCAACATATATAATATAGGTAGCATCATCAACTGTATTGAATTGTTATACTCATGGGCTTTCAATTCTAGTTGAAAGCCCATGTTATACTGAACAAAGTGAAACCCCATTTCACATAACTGGTGGATAAATCACTTCAGGGAACATACTGGGAGATAAATGTATTTTTGTTCTTTTGATTTGGTGAGGCAAAACATACAATGTACAAAGTTATCATTGTGTTTTTAGAAAACAAAAAAAAACATTTTCCTGTTTTCTATTACTCACATTTTCTCATTATTAATAAAGTATTTGGTTTTATATTTTTATATAATAAAAAAATTACCATATATACAGGGCTATATAATGTATTTATCAATATTTTGTCCGTTTGTTATTTTGAATATGACTAATATGATATTTACTAAAAAAGAAAGTTACATTTTTTGTGTGGTATAAGAATGTACAAGGATATGGATGATAAATGGGTAGATATGTTAAGTTTGAAGTGAACATTTGTTCTGTTTCTAAGATCCTCTTGTGATCCATTGAGCAGCAGAGACATGAACATCCATTCATTTTCCAAATGCTTCTTACTTCCACTGGAAGTACAGGATCTGTTAAAGGAATTTCAGTTAAATGTGGATTACTGTAAAATATGCTATTTTCACTTGCCTGTTAGATGCCCATAGATTGTTTAAGTGTTATGTCGCAAATTATGAATTTTAAAGAGGGAATTCATCTTGAAGCAAATCAAGAAATTCAGATCAGGAGTAACAAAAAATCTTCAAACGTCTCTTGCACATTTGAGAACCTCTTACACATATTAAAACTGCTTACTATAAATACAGTTTGACCTGTGTAAGAAGAACATATTTAGTCCCATAAATGTGTTTAATTTGGGATTGTTCCACTAGAGGGTTCATTTAACATAAGGTTAATAAGCAACATGATTTTAAAGTGTACCACATAAACAGGTGTTCCATTTAAATAGGTGTACCACTTTACACTCTTTTGCTTTACTCCCTTTACACTTACAGATCATCCACATTTTACATTCTTCTTATTTTTCAGAGGATACCTATACTAAACATGAAACCATGGAGAAGGAAGATATAACACTAAAAATAATGGACACTTTTGAAAAGGTAATGCCAATTTATTTTATAAGATATCAAACATTACAGAGTTTTTGGAGTGAATACAAATACATACAGTTTTATTTTCATGGATCCTTTGACAGCAAAATATGCAAGACATTGTCAGGGCTATAGACCAAAGCATAAAATTTTGTCAAATTTTGTGAATGCCCTTGATACCCATTCTGTCTTTCAATATGATAATTTTTAAGGGTAACATCATCTAATTATTAACAGCACCTTTGTCCTTGACCAATCAAAATTAAGTATTTAGACTGAGTCAGTAATAATATTCAATATAACATGAAATTGTGTTTCCAGGAAGAAAGTAATCCAGACCGATATTTAAAATGGGCAGATGCCTTTATTGTGGTTTACAGCATCACTGGCAGGCAAAGCTTTGAAGGTGCTAGGGTCTACCTTGATAGCATAGTCAAATTCCAGAAGTCATCTGGCAAAGACATCCCTATAACCCTAGTTGGAAATAAAGTTGACCTAGAAAGATATAGGTATGTGAGTGAGTATGGGAGACAACACTGATCTCCACAGTCATGATTTTACCACTCAGCTGTGACATTATGTTATTATGTTTGTTTGTGTTATTTTGTTCCAGAAACTCTTCTGCCTCTATAGCAAACTTAATATTTTATCTTATCTGAACTCCAAAAATGTGAACTAGAGGCTGTGTTACAACATTTGATATATTTTCACAGATATTTTCTTAACAAAATATGTAAACAAAACTACGGGTAATTTTAGAATTTTTTCGTTTTACTTTTTAAAGACATACAGTATTTACCAATGAAGAAAGTCAAGAAAAAAAGTTTGCTATTTTGCTGACCTACTCAAAACAAATGAAAAATGACATATATATTCATATAAAATTTCAGGTGAAAGAAAATCAAAAAATGAATGAAAATCAAAAAATGAATAATTTTATTTTCCAGGCAAGTAAGCAAGTCAGAAGGAAAAACTCTAGCCACACAATATGAGTGCCTTTTCTACGAGACCTCCGCTGCGGAGGATTATGAACTTGTTAATAAAATATTTGAGGGGACCTTACGAGAACTTTGTAGAATCAAAGAAAGACAAATTCCCCTTCAACCTTTGTATATAACAGAGGATAAACCAACAATATCAGCCCTGTTGAGCCCAACAAGCCCTGGACCATTCAGTGGTCTACACTCAACACGAAGGGCAAAATCTCCAAAAGTGACATCATCAGATATAAAAGATACACGCAAGGATGAAAAGGACAGCTCTAACACTAAGTTTTACCAAAAGAAACCTACAACATTCAGGATTTTAAAGGGTTTTAAGCTGTTCAATTGATACCTGTAATTATAAGCATAAATGGAAGTTCATTAAATTGTCTGAGATATAAATGGTGCATTCTTATAATTCCGTGGTTCTGTATTATATAATCAGCCTCAATATTAATGCTTTTACTCAATCAGTGCTACTTCACAATATGTTGCTTTAATGTGGGACATGTGCATGGTTTTTGTGTATCATTTTTTCAATTTGCAAGACTAAATACAAGAATTAAGAAATACTTACCATTTGTATTTTCAGTCTACTGTTTATCCAAGTGCAAATAACTTAAGTCTGACCTGTTATGTATACTGTACATGTATTCATGTACCAAAGCATAATTTATGTTACCAGCTGGAGCAGAGGAAGGTTTACAATTTATGAAAGATTGCAAGTTTGATACAGTGATAGTACTGTAGTGTTTCATACTATGGAAATTGTATTTGTACAATGAATACATTATTTCTTACAATTAATATTGTATTTTGCACAATAAATCATGTATTTTACAGGGGTGTAGCCAGGATTCATAGTGCTATTACAAGAGGCAGTAGACCAAGCAAAATTAGGGGGGTCTGGGGGGCATGCTCCCCAAAAAAAATTAGGATTTATATTGTACTTTCTGAGCAATTCTAGGACCAAAATATATTCTTTATTTGAAAAAGTTTTGAATTTTTGGGCTTATTTGGCACATTCTGATTGATTCTAGGATCAAAATATGATTTATTTCAATTTTCACCTCTGGTCTTTACTCTCAAAAGTATGCAACTGCGTATTCTGTGTATATGTAGCTACTGCTACGCCCATGTTTTATACAATAAAAATCGCATTTCACACAATAAGTATTGCATTTCATACAGAGAATATTGTGAATGATACAAAAACAACTGAATTTGATAAAATAAATATTCTATGAGATTACAATTAAAATTGTATAATGAAAATAGATGTTTTGATGATCAAAGCATGATGTAGATTATGACTGACACACTAAAGATTGATGTTATAATAAATTGCCATTTTCTGTTTTTGAAAACAGAATTTACTTCGTGATGAAATGAATTGTCAATGACAGAATATTAACCTTTGTGAATGGTTGACCTTTTTGCCAGTCATATAAAAACAGTTTTGCCATCTATACAAAAAAAGCTGTAAAAAAACTACAAAACTATTTATATAAGTCATGCATGAGGGAGATTCATGTTATATTTGTTATATAAAAATGTGCCATATTGTTTTTTTTGTTAATTAAAAAAAAAGAAAAAGAAAATTAAAAGTTATTACAAATAAAATGTCAAGTGACATAATAATATCTTATTGGTACAATGAAAACAATAGAAAGAGAAGTTTCCAACTTATAACTTACAAAAGATTTACCAGCATAATATGTATACATTTGCATAACATAAGTTCAAGTATCCTACTCCCTTACTGGAATAGTGTTGGCATTTTGAAAGTGAGTCTAACACTGAGGAAATTGTCGATTTTAGAAAACGAATTGTCTACAGGGTGACCTAAAAAGGTACAGACCAAAAAGTAGACTTTGAAATAGCTTTGATAATTTGTGAAATACAAATATAATATCATGTGCTATATTTTTACTCTCATTGTGACAAACTTATAAAAAATGTTTTAGCATGATGCCACAAACAATATAAAAATTGAAAAATGGAAAAGTATATGTCAGCATTCATGCATAGCATTTATTAACTTGCAATAACATTTGTGTGAAATTCTGTGAAGCGACCAATGTAATAAATAATTAGTGATTTGAAATAATAGTTGATGTCTATATTTCTAAGAATACCTCCAAACGTTCATGCAGACAAACAATGTCAGGAGCTATACAGACTGGTGTAGGTCTGATTTTCCAATTGACCATAGAATCATAAAAGATGCATTCATCATAATAGATTTGGTATGACTTTGTCACACACAGGAGATAAAAGACAAAACTATGAGAAATCACAGTGAAACCATGAATAGTTCAGACTTATCTGAGATAACTTGGGCCCACTTTTTGGGTCACTCTGTACCTATGAGGTCAATGTATTAGTGCCTGTGTATCTACTATTCTAGTAATATGCAGCTTTGGAAGTCCAAAATTCATTGTGTAACAACATTAAAAAATTGAAAATACTTGTAAAAAAATGTATTTATATTTTATAATGACTACACATTGCAGTTTTGTTATTCAAGGATATTGGGCGATCTTAAATATAAAGATAACTATAATTTATTAACACAGTTCATGTACTTTTATATTTGGTTCCTATTTTAAACCAAAATATGTCTTATGTGTCCAAATTGTAGAAACAAATAAATATAAAGCAATAAAAAACGTTCAAGTAATAACTACTATGTCAAGCATTTTAGTTTTAATTATTTTTAAGAGATTCGCATGTGTATCATGAATATTGATTCCACAATGTGTGCTTTATCTTTATAAGTCCCACTTCCACAGTCAGACCTTGATGTTTCATTTCAGCCAAACCTTGATGTTTCATTCCAGTCAAACCTTGATGTTTCATTCCAGTCAAACGTTGATGTTTCATTCCAGTCAGACCTTGATGTCTCATTCCAGTCAAACCTTGATATTTCATTCCAGTCAAACCTTGATGTTTCATTCAAGTCAAACCTTGATATTTCATTCCAGTCAAACCTTGATGTTTCATTCAAGTCAAACCTTGATGTTTCATTCAAGTCAAACCTTGATGTTTCATTCCAGTCAAACATTGATGTTTCATTCCAGTCAAACCTTGATGTTTCATTCAAGTCAAACCTTGATGTCTCATTCCAGTCAAACCTTGATGTTTCATTGAAGTCAAACCTTGATGTTTCATTCAAGTCAACTTTGATGTTTCATTCCAGTCAAACCTTGATGTTTCATTACAGTCAAACCTTGATGTTTCATTCAAGTCAAACCTTGATGTTTCTTTCAAGTCATTTCATTACATGTAAAATTGCATCTAGAATGCATGTGGTTTAAAAAAGTATTTACCAAGTTCGAAAATTCAATTTTCTTTGAAAATGTGATTTCTAGGTCGGGGAGATTCCAGTTAGACCCCATGTTACAAAACCACAAAAAGTGAAATATCATTTCCTGTTTTGGGGAGATAATATTTTCTTTTACTGGACAGATTTTCGTTGATTTCTTATTTTATATAGTATAACTATCAGACACGTAGGGATCACTGGCGGATCCAGAATCTAGCAGGGGGGGGCAAATTCTAAGTCAGGAAAAAACTTTTCAGCCTAAATTTGGGCCAAAATTTTGAAAATTGTAGGCCCATTTTTGGTAAGCCCAAAAAGCCCATTTTGAGGCCCTACAAAATATTTGGGTCCAAATATTTTTGGGGCCCTAAAATTTTTTCATGAACCCAAAGAAGGGGGGAAAATATGTTTCAGTACAGTCAAGCCTTGCACAACCAGGGATTCAGTTACAGTCAAACCTTTCATTACAGTTAATCAAACCCTTCACAACCAGGCATTTCATAACAGTCAAACCTTATTCAATTGAATGTTTCATTACAATCAAACATTGCACAGTTAAATGTTTCATTACAGTCAAACCTTTCAGAACCAGGCATTTCGTTACAGCCAAACCTTGCTAACAGTGTCAATATATAGGGACAGAAAATATTCTACACGCATAGTAAGAGCATCCAATTACAGTTAGCAAGTGTAACACAGGCCTTGAGTTTATTGATTTACAGTCATTACAGTCAAACCTTCTACAAGAACTTGAACAAGGACAACAACAGCATTCCATTCCAACCTTGCACAGTTTATTATTCAATGATATGGCATAATAATACGAGTAGAATATAGAATTTAAAGCTGGTGCAACGGCAATATTTTGTAAGGGCAATTCATTCAGCAATGGGAAATCCCTGGGATATCCCGATATACGTCATCGTTGTTTGGACGTGGCACAGACAGCCATTTTTGAGGAATAAACATAAACAACACGTTTTTATTCTAAAAGAGTGAGTATATCTTATTCTAGACTTTGTTATACGATTCACGTCATATATGACACGTTTATAAATCAAAATCACTTGCAGTCATTCTCTGTGTGACTCGCTTTGAAGAGTGATTTGGAATTTTTGGAAAAATTTTGAAAAATTCAAAAAGATTTCAATTGTTTTGATTTTAGTTCATTTAGTTGAGCTTTTCAGCTCACATGATGAGCTTTTGCAATAACCCACTTGTTATGATATGAATTGACGGTTACACGTTTAACTATGTTGATCTACTCTATGCCAGAAGCAAGAAGGACCTCGGGGAAGGACCACAGGCCCAGGAAGATTTAAATCCCCCCCCCCCCCCAGTCACTGTGTAGCTAAAGTAACCTAATACATAGTGAGTGGGAGGGGGATGAACTCTTGTTCCCGTGTCTGTGAGAAGAACAGTACTCCTCTTTTCACAGACACGGGAACAAGAGTTCATCCCCCTCCCATTCTTTAGCTACAGTGACTGGGGGGGGGGATTTAAATCTTCCTGGGCTTGTGCCTCATTTCATGTAAAAGATAGCAAGAACTTAACTTCAACATATAAGTGTTACCTGATGAATGGGACTCTCATGTGCCTTCCAAATGGTAGTAAACAAACTCCAATGTAACTACATCAGCTTATCTTTCCGTCCGATCAACAATAACAAGAAATGCTTGTCATTTCCAGAAGTTATGATACGTTATATTATCGAACATGTGTGAAAATGAAATGTTTGTTCGATGCTCGGATGATCGCATTTTATTTAGCTCTCGTAAAATGAACGAACAAATATTTGGGCCCCTAAAACCTAAAAGTGGGCCCAAATTTTGAAATTTTAAGGCTCATCTTATTCAAAATTTTGCCTAGAATTAAAAAATAAGGCCTTGGGAGCCTTAAGGCCTTTTTTGGCCCAAAACTTTTTGGGCCCAATTTTTTTTTCTGGGCCTACCCAAGGGGGGCAGGCCCCTGGGTCCCTCCCCCCCCCAGATCCGCCAGTGCATAATGCATTTGTCACAAGTTTAAGCTGAAATTTCGCTAAAATGAAGTAAGGGTTGTCTCTGTGATTTCGTTTTGTTTCATTGAGTTTGTGTTTCAGTGTAACTTCCGCAAAAATGGCGGACCAATGACAGAATTAACATGTACAATGACTTCGAAATTTAAGACAACTTTTTACCTATAATAGCAAAACTTTTGCTTTATTTGTGCATTCTATCTATCAGATAATAGTCTCAGGGGCACGCCCGGTGATCGTGAATATGGGAGCAGGCAATTTCCGCTAGAAAATTCAACAAATCTGGTAAAATTATTTTTTCAAGACAAGGTTTACGATTGAATTGCAAATTGAATAAGCGCACAGTATGATAAAATATGTTAGGTATTCTAGGATTATTTTTCAACCGATACTCTTTTAAGATATAAGATCTATTAAAAAAGGCGCAACGCAACCAACGTGCAAAAGTCAAAGTTTTTGCTATAAATCAAGCAACAATGGACTACACGACCTGTAATAAATACTTGTAAGTGATGTTATCATAACTAAATTAATGTCATTGCTGAATTTATAAAATAAGTTTCCATTCGTAAAATAAAAAATAATCGAAAATAATTAAAATGGGACGGAGGGGGGAGGGGACGGAGGGGGGGAGTAATAATTCTATAAAGTGAAACAACTTCACACGAATTCTTGTATTTGAAAAATAAACTCATTAACTTCGTAAGAAACTAGATGATATACCCCTGGAGACTGAAAAATGGGGACATTTGGAGTAAAAGGACTTAAAGTCGCGAAACATCTCTAATCATGTCTTATATACATATTGCTCCCCCCCTCCGTCCCCTCCCCCCCTCCGTCCCAAATTCATTATTTTCGATTATTTTTTATTTCACATATGGAAACTTATTTTATAAATTCAGCAATGACATTAATTTAGTTATGATAACATCACTTACAAGTATTTATTACAGGTCGTCCAGACCATTGTTGTTTGATTTATAGCAAAAACGTTGATTTGTGCCTGTTGATGGCCTTGCGCCTTTTTTAATAGATCTCATACCTTAGATGCGTATCGTTTCAGAAAAAATCCCAGAAAACCTAACATATTCTACCATACCGTGCGCCTATCCATTTAGCAATTCAATAGTAAACTTTTTCTTGAAAAAATAAATCTTCCAGATTTGTTGAATTTCCTAGCAGAAATTGCCTGCTCCCCCCCTCCGTCCCATATTCACGATCACCGGGCGTGAGGGGTATGTAGGCAAATCCATTTTGATAGGAGCACTCTGTTTAGTTTGAAAACTCACCCTTTATTATTTTGTAGCAGCACTATACAAGATCTTAAAGTGTGGATTTCTAGTCAAGTCAATGAAGATGACAGTTAAAACATAGTTTAATAAAGTCTTTTGTAATCTTTTGATTGATGTTACTTTCAGAAGGCATATACTAAACTGTGAAAATGATGGAGGAGGTTGAAAGTGGCGAGACGGATAAAGTTACGGAAACACTAGGTGGCGCTCAGATCTCAGACTCCAGTCCTGCCTCTAGCGACTCAAACCAGGATAAAGATGAGAGTGAGTATGATAATCTGAACACCGTTACACATTATATGAGCCTCGCCATAGGAAAACAAAAAATAAAATTGTGTTACAGAGCCAATGTGCTCAAGATTAAGAGGAAAATGTGCTAAATTCAAAACAGTCCTTTTGATTTATATCTGCAAGGAAAAATTGTTAAGACATAAGCCATGGTAAATTTGAAAGGTATCTTTATGCTTTTTAAGATAAACAAAAAATCAAAATATTGAAAAAAGATATGATAAGACCCCTTTTCCTGTTGCCTGGCTCATATATCATTTGAAATTTTCACTCAGACTATTTTATTTACAATCACAATATTGTTGCCTTCATTCTATTATAGAATTTTCTCTTGGTGTAAAACATTTATTCCACTACTTAATGACAAATTTTCCATTTCAATTTTTGACTAAATTTCTATTGAAAATCCAAAAATCGGCACTCTTTATGTCTTTAACATTAACAACAAGTATCTACAATTTTTAGACAGAGCTTCTTTAGAAACATTTGATGTATGTATAGAATAACACATAATTAAGTATGCAGATGGTTTTGTCATTGTTGCAGAGAAAAAGTCAGGGACCCCATCTACGGGGTCAGAATCTGGGTCAAGAGGCCCTGCTTCACAATCTGTAGGCCCCACATCTACAGGGTCTTCCCCAGCTGCCACACCACCAAGGGCTGGAAGTTTACCACCCCCAACAGGACTACCTTCTCTTGCTAGCCCACTTTCTCTTACCAGCACTCCAGGGCAACAGTTGGTAAATATTCAGTGTTATTGCATCCAATCCATAACCAACTTGCTTGTATGTAAAGGGGCTTTTGGGTCAAAATATCAATGTTTTGAACACAAAAGTAATATAATTAAGAAGTTATAGACCCCATTTTCAATTATAGATATTTGAATCTTGCTCATTGCCCATTTTAAATTTAATGTTCAAAAAGTTGGTCTTTACCTCCTGTATCTCTCCGGCGTCTCCATGGTTGCATGACATTTTTTCTAAAATTGAGTTACATCTTGAATAGAGCTGAATAGATAATACTATTCATGTAGATGATTTGAGAGGTTTTGTTCAATATTCATCCAACTATTTACAATTATGTTTCAGACATTTTCTCCAGTCACGACAGGTTCAGAACCAGTTCAGGGACTTCCTGTTTTTACCCCAGGCACCACCCCCCTAGCACAGACCCCAGCTGCCTTACCGACCCTACCCAGGTATGCACTTTTTATGTACACATGCATTGTACAGCCACAAATTAAATTAGAATATGATACAATAAGACATTGTACATTAGAGTATAAGCCGGGAGTGTAAGTATTGTAAATAAATAAGCATCAACTTCCTAAGATCCGATTATTACTTATTAAGGCAACTACTGGAAGAAAATGATTTAAATCAATTTCAAAATGTGTATTTTTGGCTCAAATCATATGCCTATTTCCAACTATCTAAATGTTATACATGTTTTTATTATATTATATATAGATCGATATTTAAGGTAATGCTGTTTGTATTTCGATTCCCCATATTATCCCCACAATCTTACAAAATAAATTCATGATGTTTTCATAATTTACCTTTCATATCAGCTCAATAACATCTGCACCTCAGATACCATTAACTGGCCTGACAACCCTTGTATCTTCAACTGTAGCGCCACCTGTTGGAAGTTACCAGCCTAGTTCACAGGTGACAGCATCAGTCAGTCAGCAGTTGTCAGGGCAACAAATAACCACAGCACCAGGTAACATATCACTGGTACATCAGAGCACCTCCCAAAAAACGTTGTTTAGGCCCTAAAGTGTTTGCTTCATTTTTTGCCTCATTTGCATTTGAAATGGTCAATAATTTCTAAAAGTGGAAAGTAGTAGCATAAATTCAATTTTTGAAGTTCTGAAGTGTCAATAAACATTTAGAGTATATTTATAGTCTATGGTAGCCTTTCACAGCACTGATTCAGTAGGTAGACTTTTCCAAATTTTTGTTGTTCTCAATTTGGAGAAAGCATGGATATTAAGTTATTGCACCCTCGCTGAAACAGGCATAAACCATTTGCATTACCAGAGATATGGAGAAAACTTAAAACAGTATTAACAAGTGCCATTATTGACTGGTTATTCTGTAATCGTTAAGCAGATGTACATATACATATGTAAGAATGCTTTCTGTATATTCCAGGTTTAGTACAGAGTCCCATTGATGTTAGTTCCACCATAGATGTACCAATAGACACAGAACCTAAGGTAATAACAATAGGTTATTATTGTTCTGTATTTGATGTATCAAAATAGACATTTGCATTAATTCAATATCATCATTTGATATTATCTAGTAGAGGTGTCATGGGTCAGATATTCTTCGAGTCGAGTCGGTCCAGAAAAAAGTCATCACAAAGAAGGCATTTAGAACTTCAGTCGATCAAAAATTAAGTGTTTTTGAGAAACTGGCTTACCTTTTACAGCTAGCATGGAACTAACTGTCACTTGCCAGACTTGAACTTTGGTTTAACTTCTATGTTTAAGGCATCAACAGCTCAGCAGCCTCTTCCCCAGGGAGGCCAAGGAGGGGGTAGTGTATTTGGTTGGCTTGGGGGAGGCCTGATGCAGAAAGTTGTAGAGAAAACCAAGAGCGGGGTGGAGTCCATGATCACGACCCTTGACCCTGGCATGAAACAGTATATCAGTAAGAATCTCCTAATTTCTTCCCACATTCTCTTCACTTGTAGGATAATCTACATATAAATAGATTCTTATTGCATGTTAGTCAATGGGACACCCAAATTTTGCCACTCAAAAATGTGTTTATATTTAAAGAGTTTAATTTGTTTCCTGTAGGAAGTGGAGGGGATGTTGACATCATGGTTACTTCCACTAAAGAAGTCAAAGTTGGAGCAGTGCGTGATGCCTTTCAGCTTGTCTTTGGTAAAGCTACAGTGAATGGCATGGTGAGTGGCTCCTTTCATATGAACTGATCTTTGTTCCAAGACAAAGTGAGGTTTATGGCACACTTGTTGGCAATAACAATGACAGTAATACAGTATATTATATTATGCAGCACAATACAGGCCCCTAACCAGGATTTGCCAAGGGGGGTTCAGTTTTCAAAAATTTCCAGGGGGGGTTCACATTTGACAATTTTGGCCCAAATATGGTTAAAATCACTTGAGAAGTGCACAAAATGGTGAAAAACTGCATGATTTTGAAAGAATTTTTGGCTGGAGGGGGGGGGGGGGCGCCTGAACCCTGCGAACTCCCCCTGGCTACGGGCCTGCAATACAACTGTTGACTGTCATTGAGGGAAAAAATATGATATTATCCCAAGTGAATGTCCTCAATTTATATTCCTGAACTTCAAAAGTTCATATGCCTCTGACATAATTCATTTATTTGATTATAACATCTGTTCCAAATATGGATAAGGTATTATGTCACGTCATGTGACCCTGATTTCACCAATGAGATAAGTGTTACAGATTATGTTTATAATAAATTGTAATATTACTCAATGAAATATATCCACAATATACCAAATTTCAAAAACTCCAACATAACGAACAATATAAAATGTTCAAATAGAAAACAGACCTATATACCAACAGAAGTACATGTAATATGTTGCATATTGGCTGTATGTTGAATTTTATCACTTATTTCAGGACAGTCAGCCCAATATAGCTCCTCAGCCTGTAGGTTATACAGCTGGCCTGAAGGGAGCAGAAGAGAGACTAGATAACTTAAGGAAAAGTGGGCTCATACATGAGGATCACCCTGTATTGGCTGTGGAGAACTTTATAGTTGAAACCCTACCTGATAGGTGCGTTGAAATAGTATACACAATAGTTGGCATCATTGCCTTCGAAATGAATCTAAAAAATTAAATCAGGAATCTGTCCCTATTGATTGAATATGATACCATTCTGCTCAAATCTGATGATATCAAGCTAGAAAACCACTTAAGGCTAATAGTGTTTTATTTATCTCATTCCAGGTGGTTTGACATTGGTTGTATTTTACTACGAGATCCATATCACAACATAGAACTTCAGACATTCACCCAGGCCACACCTATACCATCAGAGTATGTAATGCAGGCTCAGGACCAAACAGCGGGGGACTATAATCTCCGCTGGTCAGGACTTTCATGTACAATAGGACAGGTGATTCAACAGAATCTCCCTCAAGTGGACCATGCCGATTGGCATCAAAGTTTGACGGGAGTATCGCGACGAGATATGATATTCCTCGCTGCAAAAACTCTAGCAGGATTGTATAAACAGCGATTACCTCTGATTAAGTCTACGTAGCACAGATATACGTAATGTGTTGAGGAAGACTGGTGGAGTGCAATTTGAAAGGGGGTGTAAATTCAAGAAATAATTAGAAAAGGTTGTACATACTGTAAACATAGATGATTTGCCAAAATTCACTTATGGTGCAATTCATTAATTCTACATGGCTCAAATTGATGATTTGATGATCAATGAGAACTGTGGACATTACTGTAGACAACAAACAAAATATACTTAAGACGTTCAAAATTTCAAGAAGTGCTCATAGTAAACCTGTTTGGGGATTTATGAATTGATTTCATGAACTTCCATTTCTAATGTTTTTGAAAATATATGTGTATTATCAGTATATTGATGATAAAAAATGATCAAAATTCCAAAATAATTATTTAAAATTGTCTGTAGTCTCCAAGGCCATATTTATTTGTCTTGCCAAATTTTGTGCAGAATAGCATGTAATGCTTTTGTTAGTATTGTTGTGTAATTAATTTGTATTCTACCTTATCAGAAAATTATCCGGATCAATAGGATTTGAGGGATTAACCATTTAATCCTTTGATGAATAGAATCTTGTTTCCTCAAACAACTGAACTCGGAAATATTTACCATTTTATCAAAAATATTTCTTTGTTATTTTGTAACCAATAACATGTTTTAAAATGGTACAGTAGGCCTATCTATTATGATATGGTGCAGTATGAACTAAGGCCAGAAATTTTGAAGGGTTTAATTCCTTCAAAGTTTAAACCATGTCTTTTATTTCAATATTCCTTAATCCAATGATGCAGGCCCGTAGCCAGCTTTATTTCCAAAGAGGTTTACTTTCCAAAAAATCAAGGGGGTTACCATTTGACAACTTTAGTCCAAAATCGCTTGAAAAATGCTCAAAATTGTAAAAAACTGCATGATTTTGAAAGAATTTTTAGTCAGGGGGTACCTCAAATCCCCTGGTGCTATGGGTCTGTTATTATTTACTGTATATACATATGGAAGGTGTATAAATGTATTATAGATGTAAATACTCTGGAAATAGTACGGGGATGTTATACTACATGTAGAATTTTACCCTGATTCCCCAATAGCTAACCAGTGTAACTACACTCTGATTACAACAAATCACTTCCCACATTTATGGGAATTTGATTATTATGAATTGAATTTTAGCTAGACTTAATTACAGGCAAAAATGTTGTGTTATATGGTATATTCTGAGAGGCAAGTACAAAGAACTGATAGTAACAATGCGTTATTTAGAATGTAGATGATTTTCAGCTTTTGAGAAGGGTGACAGAAAGTAGGAGTTTTCCCTGATCCGTCCCTCATTCAAATCAAATTGTCCTATTTAAAAATAGCATTAACTGTTGGAAATTACTTGAACAGTTACAGTATCTTGTACCAGTATTTCCATATATTCTAAGAAGGTGCTTGATATTCGACTGAAGAAATTTAATAATTGTTAGGTTGTACAAATTATTTGTTTTTTTTTGGGGGGGGGGTTGTGGTCAGGGAGTACAAGGAAAAAACTTTTTTCAAAACCCCCCTTTGCTAAAGCTGGCTACAGAGCTGAAGTTTGTTTAGGGGTGTCCCACCACGCACACAGTGTTGAGCTGAGGGCATGGACTAACGCATTGATGTTGTTATTATATTCTAGTCAGAGCAAAATTTTGAATGGTATTTTTGAGCTTGATGTATTTTTCTACTGAAATTGTAGCATAATGACCAGTATAATTATTGTTATCTTACTTATCTTAAAAAGACATCTGATTCCTATAATTTGAGGGTATCTTAATGTTGTTGTAACCCCATTACAATTTTTTCGGGCGTTGAGAACTAAGAAATTTCAGAACTTGGAAATGAAATCTTGCTTTTTGTGAAATCTTCCCTCAAAAACTGAAGCAATATGCCAACATAATAATAAGAAACCCCTCCCCCTAGGATCACCATTGAAATTAGATTCTATGGGCTGGAATAATTTTAAAGATGAGTTCAAATCATTTTACCAAATTGTTCATTTCTTCAGAAAATAGCATAACCACAGAACACCATGACACAGTAAAATATGGGATTATAATGTAGCCTACAGTTCATGTTTATGTAGCATGCCAAAAGAATATTGTAGCTTTGAAAATGCTTTGTTATAGCCATAATGAATCCCAAAATGATTCATTACATTAATAAGTTATTGCTTTGTTAAATAAATATATGAAAAAACAATGATGTTGTTTGTTCAATTTTTCAAGTTATCAATGTTTCCTGCTTGAACCTGTCAAAATCTCCATTTATTTGCATGTTGCATTCTTTTAATTAGACCTAAATTTCGCTTGAGATGGTAAGGGAGGGGCAGGGAACACAACTTATTTCCACTTGGATTTAGATTGGACAAAGGACCTAAAAATACAACATTTGTGATATGATTTGTCCTATTTCATTTTTTTTTGTTATGAACAAAACATAATGATAATTTATATTTTACATTTTTATTTACACTAAAATATTTCATACATATTTCAATGAAGAATAGGTCAGCTCATTTGATCTGCAGCTAAAGATAAATATATTGTATAGCTGATAGTATATTGAACAGAGAATAAGATGAAATGATGGCAAAAATTAAAAGTGTTTATCTAAGACCTAGTATATAGTTTATGGTGAATTATTTTTTTCTGGTCTTGAATTTTAGTTGAAAAATGAGTGAAATGAAATAGAATGACATATACATACATTTGCCATAAATCATTAAAATTTAGCTCTTAAAATGTTTTATCGATTTAGTAGACATACATACTCTATGTAAATGCGGCTGATGTGTATCATATTAAAATGTGTCAAATACAAAATATTGCATTTGATACATATGTTTTGTGTCAATTCTTCACAATTATTGGATAGCAAAAACATATAAATGTATGCAGTTCATTGTGAAATTAAATAAGCAACATTTTTTTCTGTGAATAAATAATTCATTTAAAAATATCCATGGTAGATTGATTAATGTTTAATCTTTTTCCAACATCACTGCACTGAGTAAAGATACTTTTATATACAATTTTAGAATCCTATGTACACTGTATACTTTGTACAGAAGTTTTTATATACAAGTTTATGTACATATTTACATCCTTTGTATATTTAGACGTATCATTGTTCAGGGGACCCTCTCCTTGATCCTTGACCTTGAATTTCTAATTGTGTCCCTTCTTTAGTTGACCCTGCTGACCCTGGCCTTGACCTTTGACCTTTCTGTGACCCTCCAGACCCTGGCCTTGATCCTGGGGCTTTTTGTGACCCTCCTGACCCTGGCCTTGATCCTGGGGCCTTTTGTGACCCTCCTGACCCTGGCCTTGATCCTGGGGCCTTTTGTGAAGATTCAGAAGAAGGTCTTGATGTTGTTTTCTTAGATGCAGATGGTGGACGTGCTGCTGTATTGACGACATTCGCACCTGAGCCTCGTCTTGAACCTGACCTTGACTGACTGGGGGAACTTGTAGAGTCTTTACGCTCCGGGGTTCTACTGCCACTTGGCTCCTGGAATCATTCAAAACATGACTATAAATAAAATACTTCAATATACAATTTCCAACATCTTCAACAGTTTTCATTTGTCCCAAAATTGTTGGAGGGCAGGGATGAACATACAATGCATGAATGGACAGACAGATGAGTGGGTGATTTCATAGGGTCACCATGTGAGCCAAAAGACTACAATCCCTGTAATGGTTTTTAAATCAACTGAAGAAGATAAACGCAAAGGACAAAATGTAAAAATAGTACAGGTATAAGAATCTGCAGACATGACATACTAATAATTTCTTCCACACCAAATGCCTAGTTTTCTAACATTAGAATGCAGTTGAAGTTTTATTTTTCAAAATACCTTGCTTGGAGTAGGTGTCTTTCTTGGCCCTCTGCCAGATGGAGGACGTCCCAAAGGTTTATCTGTGTTCTGATTGGTTGGTTTTAAAGGAACCCTTGGATTCATATCAATCACTTCCTCTCCTTCTTTATGCACTATTTTATGCGCTGCTAGCAAGAACTTCCTCTGCCCTTGTTTTACTGAAGAATAATGTGTTAATAAGTGTACACATACATGTATGAATAAACAGTACATTTCATTCAATTTACACATATCATTTCATTACAAGCTGACCAAAATAGACATTTCTATTATGCGCATAATACAATAGGCTACATTTCGTATCCTTTTATGAGTTAATTCATATTCTTAGATCGTAAATGGTGTCACAATAAAAGGAAGAATTCAGGAATATAGGAGATGTATACACGGTATTAACACACTAAATGCCACTACCTGCCATTAGTTACAGACTTGGAACTCCAAACACCAACAACTGAACACAATCCACAAAAATTTGAGACTTTTTTAACAATGTGTCAACATTTTTGGTGGTAACATAATAATGGAGTATGATCAATGAATGAAAAAGCTCCTTTTTGGTTTGTTTATTGTTGATTTTATTCTGCTTATTACTAATGACCTCCTGATTCATGATATTAGTCTTTTAACAACACTGATTGTGTATTGCACCATAAATCATAGGCTCTTTCTATCCCTTATATAATTTATAATTAATAATTATACCTTTTTCTCTCATTGTTTGTTTCTGTACCTCAGGAAGTACGAAACTATGGACTAGCTCAGCTACTATCTCCTCAGATTCTAACTCGGTTTTCCTGGAAAGACACATTTTGTTTTTAAGAGAAGAAAAGACAACATAGATTTTTTCATAGTTTGATCAACAACATTCATAATGCATTTTCTCATTTATGCATATACCAAATAAAAAATATCATACTATTACTTCAGAATACTGTTCTTTATCTGTTATTATTAAGGTTCTTTAGTCTGTTTCGAATACTATGTTTAATCACATGTCTATGAGTTTCTAAGCAATTTGGCATTTAATTCAATTTCTTTCCTTATGTCTCACTATGAAGTAAATATCAAGATTGACAACAGCAGGTTATAATTGAATAGTTAACAGCAATTATTTGACATCACATTATCTAAAGCAATTTTGGCGAGTGAAAGTTCACATTTTTTAGATGAATTACCAAATTTTGCCAACCTCCCCACTCACCTCATTTTCTTTGATATTGAGGTTGAAAACATGACTGACACAATTTATCATACTGGAATTCAGTCCATTGCCATTGCCAATGGGAAACTGAGTAAATACTGGTGGCCATTGGCAGTCTACCAGCTTGGCGTTCAGAACCCTGTAATATGGGAAGCTACCAGTGACTCCATGCAAGACGAGTGTAGCCACTATAACTTACTTTTCTTCCATAGAGTATGCAATATCATTAATCTTCTCAGCCAACTCCTGGATCTCCTCCCTAGCCTGATCTTCAGCGGTCTTATCAATTGAGCCCATGAGAATATCTTCTAAATATGTATCAACAGTGTTCTGATGGCATTTTATCACCTATAAAGTAAATAAAAAATTGCAATAGATATATTGAAGCCATGATAATGTTCTTAAGATATGTATAAGATGCACAGGTATTCACCTCAATAGAATTAAATATTTGTTTAATATTTTCCTTCGATGACATATAATCACCTGAATCACTTACTTTTAAATAGGTTTTCTTATAATACTGTAGTTTCTATTTGTCTATATAACATACCTGCTTGAAAACTTCATCCTCCTCACGTCGTCTCCTCTCCTCCACCTGTCTACGTCCTGATTCCTCCGCCTCTCTGATCCTCCTCTGTCTCTCAGCTAGCATAGCAAATGCATGGATTCTCCTCTCCTCCTGTAGTCGTATCAGCTCCTTGCTCAGGAAGTCAAGTGTGTCCCCAATACTCTCTCCTTCAAGCTGACCCAGAGCTTCATTGATATGGGACTCCTAAAAGATGAAAAGATAATTTAATGTTGTACTTTCTCTATTGTCAGCTGAAACGACAATCTGCAAAATGTTTACAACTGGTCCTTAGTGGTGTCTTAGCTTATTAGTCTTAGCTGAATATATCATATTTGCAACAAAACCTGGAAAAGGGTCAATAAAGATTAAAGAAAGACTTCTTCCTTGATCTACCATTGGAAAGTATGTTATAGACGTCATTAAGAGCTCAATTCTTAGCACGTTGCATGACCATTAATTAAGCCTTTAATGCCACATAATTAATGACAACTAATTTTCATCAACATGCAATATTGATTATATAGTACCAGATCCTTGTATAGTTTTACAAATCATAATAAATGTGTAGCATTTCTACTTATCAGATGGATTAAATCTTCAGTTAGCTTTTAAAGTTTGTTCAGAAAATTGTGAAAAAAACATTTTTGCTGAGGTTTACCTGTACAGAATTGGTACAAAACAAACTTTCAAATTGTAAACTTTCTCAATCAATACAGTGTACAATATGTCCAATAGCTCTATCAAAGATTTATTCATTATGAATAACACATTCATAATTTAAAGGCCCAAAATGAATCATTTTTATTCAACTTTATTCATTAATAAAAAAATCTACTTCACTTTTGGAAAGCTTCAGTAAATATAATTTATGATGAACTAAAGTCTGTTCTGACTTAAATCATTTGTTAAAATGCATAAACATGACGTATGTAATTTCATTCATACCTTATGCTCATAAAGTCTGCGTTGTCTCTGTAAAGCAAGTGTGGCTTGTTTCTCTTGCTTCTTAATCTGCTGTTGAGCATCCTGTAATGCGTGTGTACTCCTCAGCTCATTAATTAGCTCAATACGTTTCTCCTTGCCCTCAAACATCATATTCTGGATGGCTCGTCCACGGATGACCTGCTGGAGGAAGATTGTCGCAAGTTCACGTTCTTCTTCTATTTCTGAGGGTATCTCGATCGCAGGTGTTGGGGGTCTTGGGATAGGCTTTTCAATCTTTTGTAGGAATCTCAATGGCTTTGGGGGCTCTTCACCACGAGTTCGCTTGTCAATGATTTGCTATAAAATATAATAGAGGTTAAAATGCCAGTTTATATTTAATTAATTCATCATTATTTAAAATCAGAGAGCTGACTCTGTTAATAATGGGTCTATATAAGACAGGTTGCATAAAATGAGTCTGAAATGTGAATGACTGAAAACTTGTTGCACAGGAATTCATATTCCTTATAGCTTTTGTATTTTATTCGCCCAGCAGGCATTGTACTGCCTAAAATATATTATATTGATTGCCTTGCGATTTAGAAGCATCAATTTGCCTAGAAGTCATTGCCAAATTAATGTCTACATTTTACACATGAATTTCTTCGCATTCACAGAATTAAACTGATGTTTTTTCACTGAATATTTTTGAACTTTTCAGAATATTAATAAAGCACACATGTGATGATCAAGCTCTGTACATTAAAAAGCAATTGATTAGTTTCCAGGCATGCATTCAATTATCAAGCATTATAAAGTAGCATACAGTTCATACATGTCATATGCATTCTCAATTTCAATTCAGCATATAGCCTAATCCATGCAGAACATCTATAAAATCTAATATATGCTCTGGATAAAGTGATATTTCTATGCTGTTTTCCTAAGGTTGGCATTCCACTTTGCTTTCACATGCAATCACCTACAGATCTTATACATGCAGTTCCTCTAAATGATCTTATCAGCTTTGTATGAGAATAGGCGAAATAATAGGCATGCCTATTGTCTACAACTAAGTCTAAAGCAAAAATATAATTAATGCAATGTTGAGAGTTAATATTCATCAAATCTCATTTGGCCAGTTTATTTCATCTAACTTTAATTTATAAGCATATGTTTTGCATTTTTACCTTCCAAGGATGACTCTGAAAAAATATGACAAAAACAAATTGAACTCACAGCCCTATGCTGGGTGTCCCTAAAATATGTACACTTTTATTTTGGATCTATCCAGTTCAGTTCATTTAGCTTAATTTTGCTTCAAAAATGCAAAGAACTACATTAAAATGTATTCTTTGCTTTGGTCTACTATTCAATACCTAAAGTAAACTGAATATGTTGTTTTGGATCAGTCCAATGCAAACAATGGACTTTCATCAAGGCTTTGTATACATTCTTTGTATACATTTCTGCTCCTCCAGGCTCACTCATTCCTGGTTCAGAAACACACAGATACAATGATACAAAAAAAAACCAGTACAAACAAGGCAACAGAAAAAATACATATTACAGGTAAATACCAAATTAAAATAGATATTAGCCAAACCTTTTTTCATGGTATCACAAATATCTTGACTTCGATTACATTTACATTAGTAGAGATGTTGCCATTGTACTCATATGAATAAACAGAGGATCTTTACTGTAATTTTCATATTCTTCCCATTGAAATATTAAGACATTCATCACAGACAATTTTCATAGGAAGAGTATGAAAATGAATTTCAATTCATAGTTCACAAAGTTCATATAACTTCTTTATGGTGAGCTTACCTCATGTATTTCAGCCAATTCCCTCTCTTGGCGATACTTTCGCTTCGTGAAACCTTGTTTGGTGACAGTCTTTGGTTTTGGGGCTACTATCCTTGGTTGAAGGACAAAATCAGGCAGAGACGCTTCAAGCTCCAACAAACCTACAGCATAAACATCCAAATTTAACTTACTTACATTCTCCCAATATTCCATGACACTCCGAAAGACAGAAAAAATACAAAAAAGATAAATTGAAACTAGCATGCATTTTCTTGTTATCATACCTTATTTTTGCACCAATTTAGATTTTTGCCTATGATAAATGTCATACCTTGATAAGTGGTTAGATGTCTACTCTTCACCACATTTGCCTCAGACCCATGGTCAAGAAACACTCCCATTCTAGTCATAGGGGCGTAGGTCTGAGATCCATAGTTAGAATACTCATTGGCAACATCGCGACGTTCCAGCTTGCCTTCTACAGTCCGACGTTTCTCAGTCAACTTTCTAATTGCTGTAATAAGTTCAACATTTTTAATAACCCTTCATTTGTATATATGAAATTTAAATGTGGCAAAATTATTCCTGAGAGTGAAGATCATTAAATTATAATGCACTTGAAACAAACTAATTTGCAAGAACAAAGCACACTAATTTGACTAATTTGAAAAGGCATTTAAAATTAGACATTTGTTTTAAAATTGTTTGATCAACAAAAATGAGTTACTACATGTATATTCAATTAAAACATAAATAGATTTGAAATTATGAAATATTTGTGATATTTCAAAATTAAACTTACTTTTAATGTGCTCATTTCTAATTTTAGCTATTTTCTTTTCCTTTTCTGCTTGTTTACGTTGCCAAAGTTTGTCTAGACGTTTGGTGTTCAGATCTTGATGATTCTCTTCTCGTTGCTTCAGCAAATTCTTCAACACCTCAAGCCTAGCTTCCTGTAGCCTAGAAGAATTAAGAAATTCTATGTATGTAGATTCATTTTCCAACACCAATGTAAACTATTATTTCATTTTCATTAAGAATATGTCACTCTACAGTGGTTCACATATTCAGCTTACTTTTCTATTTCTTCTTCTCTAAGTGCCCATTCTTTTCTCTCCATATCATCCATCATTTTACGACGTTTATCCAGCTGGTCCATGTCATTGAGTGGAGGCAATGTGGCCTCCCAGGCACGCTTGGCTCTCGCTCTCTCAATCATCTCAACCTCTGCCAGACCTGCTGGTAAACCCTTTCCTGGAACATAAGAATAAGACGTGTATGTGTGCAAATATACGACACTCCTAGTCCTAATTGGGTTCCATATTGAACACTTAATCTTAAAATGCCATTACATATACAATTTTGGCTTTATTACACCACCATTTTAATAACTGTATTTTAAATATTGAACTGAAAATTGAGAAAATAATGCCAAATTGACTAAGATGTTTATGAATAAAGAAATATTGACGCCCAATACATACCATATGAGAGAGAGCCCAGAGTGAGAAGCTCAGGCTGTGACCCAGGCCTGACAACATACTCTGGTGTATAGGGATCAGTTTGAGCTTCACTGTCTCTGTAGTCAGTCTGAATCTCAACAGTTCTATGGGTAGGTGTCGCCACCCTCTCGTGTTGCACATGTTCCGATACTGCTAGCGGGTCTTCTCTAAACATACAGGAATACATTCATGTTTATTGCACAGCTTACAGAAAGAATAAAACGGTTGATGCACTTTATTTATGTTTTATCATCATTTGTAACAATACATGTAAAGTACATGTCCAATATACTTGTATAATTACATTCTGCCAGAGGACAATAATGATTAAAATCTACTGTACTTCTTTGTATTCAAAAATCAGAAAATTAAAAATAATGTAAACATTGGAAGAAGTTTTATTTAATAAATTATCAATATATTTCTTTACAATGTATCATCTTACTCTTACCTGTTTGCCGCTAAAAGCACTTCTGGTCTGACAGTCTGCATAAATGGAATGATAGGTCTACGGAAATATCTGTATCTATTTGTCCCTGACACTTTAGCATTCTCGTATGTTTTGGGTGGTACTGCTACACTAGGGTCATAGTTGAAACTGAAACATGTAAAATAGGATTTTTATTTTTAGAAAAGAAACACATACTTTTTAATTCACTTCCATTGGATAGTACAACCTAAATCATGATTAAAACTGTCTAATAAAGAATAATCATTGTCATTAAATAATTACATAATAAATCTGGTTTCCCTTTAACATTTAAAAAAGTGTCTATTTTCATTCATCTATAGGCATTATTTATATTATATCTTAGCAAGGATTCTTCCTGCAAAAATATAAAAATAAACCTCACGTTGTGTATCTGATGAGAGCCTCTCTCTGCTGTTCCCCATACCCTCTCCACTGGCGGGATATGAACTTTGGAACAGGATCTTGAACATCAAGTTTCATCTGGAATCTTGGATGATGACGAAGTTCACTAAACATGGTTTTATATTCAGCGACACGTTTCTAAAAAATGAAAGTAATATTAAAATGTGGCAAAGTTCCTTATAATCAATACTTTTCTTCATGAAAATTTTTTCAAAAAAAACTTGGGCAAGACATGAACAATATTATCTGTAATTTATTGAAGAAGAATGATGCATATACAAGTAGACACAAGTAGTCACTGAAGTGTACTTATTTCCATTAGGAGTTTTGAAAAAAGTGCATTTTGAAAACTTTACTGAATGTCAGAGAATCAGATCCCACCCAAACATTGGAAAATTAAATTTTAATTTAATTTACATTTAATAATGGTATTTCGAGGGTTTTGTAAATGATTATGATCCTTTTCACCTTAAAACCCATTCAATGAGTGATTATATGTTATGTTTTTTTCTGGCCATTTGAGTTTACTTTGTTCTGTAGGAGCACTTTAAGAAATACTATTTAAGTTTTTACAAGTACTTACAACACGATCCGTGCTTGTGTGTGCCTTGAATGTGGACCTTGCATGATCTCTCTCACTGGATAATACATAGTGAGGATCTGAAATGAAGAAAATGGAAATTAATCTGATTTGATTAAACAATGATAGGGTTGGGTCCCAGTGTTCTCCCCAAAAAAAATTTTCAACTGGGTGCAAGATTTCAAGTCTGAAAAAATCAGCACTCGCTACGCTCACAATATCTCAGTGTAGGTGCTTACTTCACTCATTTTTCAAATCAGAAGTTGAAGTGCAGATTCCAACTGGGTGCCAACTGGGGGGCCTTTGGTTTCAAGTAGGGGGAGCCCCCAGTAAAAGTGACATAGGGAGATCACTGGGTCCCTTCATCACAGAATTAATTTGGACTAAACATTCATTACCACATCAGGCCAAAGGCAAAAAATCTTTCAAAATCATGCAGTTTTTCACCATTCTGAGCAATTTTCAAGTGATTTTGGGCCAAAGTTGTCAAATGTGAACCCTCTCTGGAACTTTTTGAAAAGTGATCCCCTTTGGCAAAGGCTGGCAAAGGCTGGCAACAGGCCTGCACATCCATGTATAAAATTGAATGGTGCACTCTTCCATACATATGATCATGTCCCAGTAATTGGGTGATGCATTCTGTTTAAAATTCAAAAGTTACAAAATTGCCATCTTGTCGTCTAGCTACAAGCCCTTGTGAGCAAACCCCCCCCCCCAAACTTAACACCTCCAGAAGTGTGAAAAGGTAGTTAAGTAGTGGGATGGCAGTTTGGGAAATAAGCACCGGACAACGGACAAATGTCGAGTCTGAAAAGAAATTTGTCCAGACTGTTTCAAACTGTGTGGTCAAAATTGTCCAGATAGATTTTGCTGAGACAATGAATTTTGTTTTACACATCAAATGAAAGAATATAAGTTTGCCTTCTTCTGAGGAAGTAGTTGTCGACAAATGAAACAATGCAAAATAAAAAATTCAATGATTAACAATTTCAGTCATTTTATACCCCCCCCCCCTCTGTGGTGATGTGGACTTGCAAGATTTTCTAGTGTAACTATGTATCTTGTTGTGGATTACTGAGTAAATGAGCAGAGACTAGGCTTTCAGTAGCCTAGGCTATCCTCCAGTGACGAAAAGACTTCAAAAGAATTTTTTTCCAAAAATCTGAATTGGTCGCAACCTTACCATAGAGATAGTCGTGTGTCCTTGAGTTTTGGGCCACCTGCCTATGTATGGCTCGTGTCTGGGTTGTCATGATGAAATGAAAATGACGGTCTTGCTAAGATCTGGACACCATTAATAAAGGAAATACAACTTTTACACCCGAAAAAAGAAAAGTTCACAAATCCAATATGGCGATCTTTACATTGTTGCCATAACAGCGAAATCTCGCGAGATCGAAATCGTATATTTCGTTTAGTGTAATACGGTTGAATTTACCGGGAAATCAAGATGAACATGGGCTTTCAATAGATTAACATTATTGATGATCATTTGATTGAGTGGTGACAATGGAAATTTGAACTTTACTGTGTGTTCTTTATTGGACTGACACCTCTAAAGCCAGGATCACAGGCCAGGATACTAACATCCAGCCCGTTCTTTTTATTGTAATAATTGTTAAACATCACATGAATAATAAAATACTTATTCAACCTAGTATTTAATAATATTTCAACCTCACTGAGGTGGCAACACAACATAATGAAATGTAGTTTATTGTAAGGAATTTACAGTTGTAACAAAGAAGGTGCATTCTTTTTCTATTGTTTTTAAAAAATTGACACTTGACAAGCTATCCAAAACCAGTGTGGCACAAATATGATTAACTGTCACATGGAGTACACTAGCTGAACCAATTTCACTCCTCAGCACACTTACAGTACCTCATAGTCAATTCAAAAGAAATCAAATTTTCCTAAAATTAGATCATGAGTCCTTTACCTTGCAAAAGAGTCAGTGTGGGGTTTAAGTTAGACAAACCATTTGTACTCGGTCTTGGGAGAACTAATAGCCTAGGGCCAAGGTCCTTGGCTATTATTTCTCATAAAACCAACTCATAATTTATTTGTTACAAAATACAAAAGAAGGATCCAAATAAAAAAGTAAAAATGGTCAAGAGCCTATTTAAAGTACAATAGTGTAACCAATTAGGGCAGTGCTTAAAGTTATTTTTTAATATTAAAAACTAATTTTATATTGGAGGGAAATAATATTAACAGTCAACTGAACTTAACAGAGAGATCTATATTTGTTCTGTTTTTCGTTTATTCACATTTAGCAAAGCATTGGATAAAATACATCACAATCGGTTAAAACTATGTAGTGTTCCACATAAAATATAAACAGAAACGATTGAGTTACCCTCTAGAGTACATTCTTTCAATGGTAATATTTCTGGATACATTAAAACATCATGACACTTGATAGATAGATTTTTAATTTTCTTATCTTACTGGCTTTATCTATAACCAGACAATAAGGTTTGGTCACCCTGTTTTAACTTGAAAAATAATGTTTTTCTTTACATTTCGGAGCATTTAGAAATGTGCTTGTAAAAATACCAAATAAAAATCCCCAAATACCTGATACAACACAAACTGACTGCACAGATAGTGTCTTTGACCTAAAATGTTTACAGACACTGTGAGACACATTAACAAGGGTGGTATCCAAGGAACTAATGGTTCACATCAATAATTTATACTGATGGCTCAATAATGCTGACATACAACAATAAAAATGAAGAGTGGATAAGTGAAAAGTATAAAGTATATAAATATAAAGTTTAACTCTGATATTATGTAAGGCCGGGGTAAATAAATTTTAACATCAATTTGTGGTTTCTCACAAGCCTGCATACCATTATTGGGCAATCTTCTAAACCCCTTGGAAAATAAAAGGTGCCTTGTCCTTTTGATAAATCCTGTTTCCATATTGTGTATTGTTATGTGTAGCTATTATATTAAATATTTTATTTTATAGGCAATATTCAATATCATTTTTATATTCCTAAGTTTAGATGTATGACAACGGATTAAAATGAAATAAAGGAATTTTTAATAAATTTTTCAAGAATAAATGTTTTTAATAAATCACACTTGATATATTTGGATAGGCATGGTTTAAATAAGAAAGCATTCTCTTATTCACTAAACCCATTTTATCCATAGAAATTAATAGACAATTAACATTGTCATTACTCAGTAGAAAATCATTGAATGTTAAATAAATGTTTTTAATAAATCACACTTGATATATTTGGATAGGCATGGTTTAAATAAGAAAGCATTCTCTTATTCACTAAACCCATTTTATCCATAGAAATTAATAGACAATTAACATTGTCATTACTCAGTAGAAAATCATTGAATGTTAAACATACATGTACATATTTTAATTTACCCTGGCCTTTTGCAGCTAGAGCAAATTATTTGATGTTCATATATAATAATCACCTGCATATGACATTCACAAATGGAAATTCACTAAATTATTTAGGTAACCCTCTCATTGCTCGATCAAAAATCATTGAATGTAAAACACACATTTTATGAATTTACCCTGGCCTTATGCAGAAAGAGTGAATTATTTAGTATAATCATCACATCAGTCATGTAATGTGAAGTTTATAACATAAAGCCTGTAATAAAGCCTGATCTCTGGAATATAGCAGCTACATGAAAGATAAATGGCTGGGTCACGACATAACTTGAGGAAATTCACAGAATTACTTGTTTTTATTCAGTTAATAAGCTTCTGAATATCTGAAATAAATCTTAACATCTTATATATTCTCAATGTTCACAATCTTTCGACTAAATCTACTTTAATGTGAAAATCTACGTTTACAGTAAAACCTGTCTTAGTGAACACCTCTCTTTAGTGAACACCTGTCCCTAGTGGACACCCTTCCTAGGCACATAGTCTACTGACTTCTGTATAAATTACCCTCTCTCTAGTGAACACCTACCTACAGTGAACGTTTTTTCTTGGCAAAAAATGTTCACTATACACAAGTTTTACTATGAAAAAATCACACTGTACTAGATTGGCCGAAAATCAAATTTACAATCCCCTGTTTTTTATTGAGCACAATGAATCAGTTTCCAAAGTCTATTATCTGACGTGCTGGTTTCTAGGTCGAATTCGGGCTATATTTCTATTCTATGCTAGACCTACGTGATATAGAGATAGCCTGCTGTAGGTGTTTTGGGGTATCCAAATCTTAGACATTTTGCCTATACAATATGTATTTTCAATAGCCCACAAAATATCAGAGACTAGGATATACATAAAATATGTTATATGTAATGATTTGTAGAAATTGAGGAGACAACAATTAGAAAATTACTGCAAATACATGTAGTTGAAAGTACAGGGTGACCCTCAAAACAGGCCACCAAAATTAGTTAGTTACATAAAGTTTTATAATTTACTAAGAAAAAGGTATGTAAATTCATGATACAAGGCATGTGAAGTTACTGCACAAGGTATATGAAGTTACTGCACAGGGTATGAGAAGTCACTGCACAAGGTGTGTGAAGTCACTGCACAAGGTATGTGAAGCAGCCTGCACAAGGTATGTGAAGTAACTGCATAAGGTATGTGAAGCAACTGCACACGGTATGTGAAGTCACTGTTCAACGTATGTGATGTCATCGTAAAGGGTACGTTTGTGGTACTTGGTATATATCCTCATATATGGTACGGTAGTCATCAGACAAGGTATATGATGTAAATTGGCTCCCTTCCAGTGAGCATGGACTCTTCTGTCACTTAATATTGAGGTGTCACTTTATGACCTTGTGATATCACTGCACTTAGATGTCACTGCATTGGTTAATTTTTGTCACTGCATTTGATGTCACTACATTGGCTCATGCATTGTTAATGTCTGGAAAGACAGCGCCTTCAAGATTTCTTTGCGATGAGCCTCATTCTGAGTGTCAATGTTGTTGCCACCAACCTGACCATCTTCATACCTGGAATTAGTCAGAAAATAGACGTCAACATAGACATGGTGTAGAGGAAGCCAGAATTAGAATAGACGTCAACATAGACATGGTGTAGAGGAAGCCAGAATTAGACTAGACTTCAACATAGGTTGTGATATAGATGAAGCCAGAGTAACAGCAAGTACAGATGTGTAATTCATAAAAAATTGAACTTTAATGTCCTAAGTACAGGAAGACAAAAGAAAATTCATGAGGATTCAAAAACATGTAAGAAAGTTATTCCAAAATTAGAAAATTAGTTATGTGTTACCCTGTATTTTATAGAAACCAAGTCAAATTAAAAAGGATGACATGGCGAACCAGAGAGGTCCTGTAGCACTTTTTCAAAGTGCGATAACAATGCATCGAGGGTGGGACAATTATTTAAAACTCAGAAATAATCTTACCTTATTGCGATCTAAATCACTCTATCTATATATAGTTATCTAAATATAGTTTCACTATTATTGTCTTAACCACATAATACTTTCTTATAAGCCTTTCGGAATTGTTTGTTTTTCCAGCCATATATAAATGGATTCACCACACTGTTCAAACTAGCTAATAATCCAGATACAGTAAATAATACACCAACTGTTTCAGTCTGATTTGGAAGAGGGGTGTTGCAAAAACCCACAATAAATAAAGGAGCCCAGCAAAACAGATAAATCCCAACAATGATTCCAAGAACTTTAGCTGATTTGATATTTGCTCTATTGTCTACTGGCTTACCGCCAGGGTTCATGGTTACTTCAAGCATTCTTATTTTGTTCGCTTGCTTTTGAGCTTGGGCGAATATTGCAGCGTATAATCCAACAATTGTTGCTGTAGCAACAATGAAAAATCCACCAGCAACACCAGAGAGAAAATACATTGGGACAATTTTATAGAAGTAGCATTCAAGTTCCTGCAAGGGTTTATGCCACCACACTAAAATTATACTTGTCAAAACACTAATGCTCCAGGTAACTGTGATCATGATACAAAGCCTCATCCTGGTGATGGTTGTTGTGTAATGTAGCGGGTAAGAAACTGCGACAAATCTATCAATAGCGATACAAACTAGTGTTATCACTGAGGCTTGGGAGCATAATGTAAACAATACATATCTTGCTAGGCATGTTGGGAAATTACCCCAGACATAATAATCTGCGATGCTAAATGACGTCACCAACCCCACGATGAGATCAGCAACTGCTAAGCTCATCATAAGGAATGATGTGTCCCGTTGAAGTTCCGTATATTTCAAAATGATGAAAATTGTGAGCCCATTTCCAACACATATAAGCAACAATATTATGACACTGACCACAGTGTAAATGTAGTAGGAGGTGGGAATCTCATACACATTAGTAGATGTCTCTGATGTATTGTACATATCTGTCACATTCATCATTGATGTAATTTCTGTGACATATTATATTGATATATCATCTCTGATAGGTTGTACATATCTGTCACATTCATAATTGATGTTGTATATATCTGTCACATTCATAATTGATGTTGTACATATCTGTCACATTCATAATTGATGTGTACATATCTGTCACCTTCATAATTGATGTTGTACATATCTGTTTCATTCATAATTGATGTTGCACATATCTGTCACATTCATAATTGATGTTGCACGTATCTGTCACATTCATAATTGATGTTGTATATATCTGTCACATTCATAATTGATGTTGTACATATCTGTCACATTCATAATTGATGTTGTACATATCTATCACATTCATAATTGATGTTGTACTGTACATATATGTCACTTTGATGTTGTACATATCTGTCACATTCATAATTGATGTTGTACATATCTGTCACATTCATAATTGATGTTGTACATATCTGTCACATTCATAATTGATGTTGTACATATCTGTCACATTCATAATTTATGTTGTACATATCTGTCACATTCATAATTGATGTTGTACATATCTGTCACATTCATAATTGATGTTGTACATATCTGTCACATTCATAATTGATGTTGTACATATCTGTCACATTCATAATTGATGTTGTACATATCTGTCACATTCATAATTGATGTTGTACATATCTGTCACATTCATAATTTATGTTGTACATATCTGTCACATTCATAATTGATGTTGTACATATCTGTCACATTCATAATTGATGTTGTACATATCCATCTGTCACATTCATCATCTATAATATTCATCGAAATCTCTAATCTACCTTGATCGATTAAAAGTATTTAGTTAGGCTAAACTAAAGTCAGTGCAAAAATCAATTTCCACATTCTCATCCATATTTGATGTTCCTTGAAGATAGCCATACAATTGAATTGTGGTTTAATCATATGGTTCACATTATTGCCCAATTATACTGGAGAATCCACTTGTCCATAATACTGTAGTAAGTCAATCCCAATTTTGAATGCATTATCTCTTAGCCCATAACAATGCTACTTCTTCATCAATGTGTTACTGCTCTCCTGTGACATTATCATTCTTCAATCAATGTGTGAAAAAGCAATTGCATAACAGGATCCTAATATGAGCTATAACAATGATCCAATTGTTCCCATTCAATTGTCTGAGACAATGACCAATCACTTAAATATCTGATATCTTGCCAATGAAAATACCACCATGTCACCTCCTCCATTAGTGAATCAGGCTGTTGTTCTTGTATGCATTTGAGTTGATAACATAAGAAGTTGTAAAACCTATGATGATGCTGCCTTTCATAACTTCTACTTTAACTCCAAATTGTTACATTATTAATGAGTGTACATTTGAATTAAAACTAGAAAAAACAGTAACTCAATGGAGTAGCAAATTAGTGGTAAATTAGTGACCATCTTGAAAATTCCATCTTGAACAGAGTATATCAGCTTCTAAAATTGAAATCAAATCCATTCACTGGTATCTGAGTTATCAAAGATTACATTTTTTATGAAAAATGGTGGCCATTTTAAAATACAGCCACCATCTTGTTTACGAAAAATGGTGGCCATTTTAAAATATATCTGCCATCTTGAAAATTTCTTATGTAGAGATCTCTTTTGTCCCTAGGTAGTAGCATATAAAATTTGAACCATTTAAACCATACACCCCATGCACAACCTGAATAATAGATGCTAAACATATATTTATTTGCCTTAACTTATAGCTGAATGGAACATTAAGTGATATGAAAAAACCTAGGTCAATACAATCTAATCCCATTAAATCACACAATGTCTACAAGCCTTAAAATACAAATCTGACTATTACTAGTAAGTGATTCCACTAATGTAGTGCTATTGTCCTATTTCTGATAATAGCTAACAATATGGATGGGAGAGAAACATATTCAAGGGGCTTCAAAAAACTTAGCAAATAAACATGTACTCTATTTAACTTTCCAATTACATGTGTCATTGTCAAGGTGTCCTTCAATGACCCGAATTGCTTCATGATATACCGCTTTGACCTTTCAGAATCAATGTGACCGTGACATTAATGTCAAGTTGTCCTTCAATGAACACAATAGATTCAAGATATACAGTTGTTCTTCCATAACCCAATGACTTTACAATATACTGCTTTGACCCTTCAGAATCCATTTGACCGTGACATATTCATAAGTTGTTCTTCCATAACCCAATGACTTTACAATATACTGCTTTGAGCTTTCAGAATCTATTTGACCTTGACATATTCATAAGATGTTCTTCCATAACCCAATGGCTTTACAATATACTGCTTTGAGCTTTCAGAATCCATTTGACCTTGACATATTCATAAGATGTTCTTCCATAACCCTTTTAACTTTACTTTGACCCTTCAGAATCCATTTGACCTTGTCATATTCATAAATTGTTCTTCCATAACCCAATGGCTTTACATAATACTGCTTTGACCTTTCAGAATCCATTTGACCTTGTCATATTCATAAATTGTTCTTCCATAACATAATGATTTTACAATATACTGCATTGACCTTTCAGAATCCATTTGACCTTGTCATATTCATAAATTGTTCTTCCATAACCAAATGGCTTTACAATATACTGCTTTGACCTTTCAGAATCCATTTGACCTCGTATTCATTAGTTGTTCTTCCATAACATAATGATTTTACAATATACTGCATTGACCTTTCAGAATCCATTTGACCTTGTCATATTCATAAATTGTTCTTCCATAACCCAATGACTTTACATAATACTGCTTTGACCTTTCAGAATCCATTTGACCTCGTATTCATTAGTTGTTCTTCCATAACATAATGATTTTACAATATACTGCATTGACCTTTCAGAATCCATTTGACCTTGACATATTCATAAGTTGTTCTTCCATAACCCAATGACTTTACAATATACTGCTTTGACCTTTCAGAATCCATTTGACCTTGACATAATATACATAATATACTTGTATAAGTTGTTCTTCCATAACCCCAATGACTTTAGAATATACTGCGCTGATCTTTCAAATTTCTTGAAACCTTGATGTATAAATGTCAAGTTGTTCTTCCATGACCCAAAAAGCTTGATGAAATACCTCTCTGACCTTTCAGAATTGACTTATTATTGTCAAGTCGTCATTCCAAAACTTTGGTGATATACTATTTTATTGTCCTTTCAGAATTCATGTGACATTGATGTTTACATGTAAAAGTATTAGCCATTCAATTCTATATCATTATACTGCCATATTATTGTTGAAAAGAAGAAAGAGAATTGGCCATACTATTTTTCCCTGGTGGATTCCAAAGAGTGCAATTGTCCAATGTGACAATTCTAACCTGCATGTTTTCTACTGTTTAGAAGGCTGTCAACCATAGCATCCTATGTCATAGGCTTTTGACAAGTCTTTCAGTTGGTAATGCATCAAACAGATTTAAAGTAAAAATGGCATCAATGTAGTCACCCTCACCTTATAGTTTGATCCAGTGTTAGTACAAGTACTAATTGTCTCATATTTAATCTCCAAGGACAAAAGCCATGTTGTATTTGATACATAAAAGTGACTCAGAGATAAACAAGCTTTCTTTTGTATATTTTACCAAGTTTTAAGTTATTTTTCTCAATTATTGCTTAAATGATTGATTTTAACGATCAATTTATATTGTTCTGTTGAATACTCACACAAAAAAGAATCTTGTGCATACATGGTCTGGGTTAGGAGACACCCAGATGTTGCCGTGCTTCTTTAACTCTTTTGTTGTGACCACTGAAAATCACAAAAATACCGAATTGTTGAGAATTTTAGATAGAAACAAGGCATTAACATGCAAAATGTCACCACCCACCATTTGTTACAGATACTGAATGCTGAACTCAAAACATCAACACCATAAAAGTTTGAGACCATAACAATATGTCACCACTTGTGATGATGACATAATAAAATAATAAAAACAGTTATACTTTATACACTACAAAATATAGCTGTGCGACAAAATCAAGTAATAGGTTTATCTGTCTGATATACAAACATGCATATATAAGGGATATCTCACGAGGGATGAACCCAATATCTAAACCGACCGTACCGTTTTCTAATTTTCTTTCAATTTTTTTTCTATTTTTTTTATTTTTTCTATTTTTTCAATCTTTTTTCAATTTTTTATTTTTTCCAAATTTTAATATCTAAACCGACCGTACATAACTGCTTTATCCTATACCAAATAGAGTTTTCTAATTTTTTCAATCTTTTTTCACATTTTTTCAATTTTTTTCACATTTTTCCAATTTTTTCAATTTTTTTCTTTTTTTCAATTTTTTCACATTTTTTCTTTTTTTTCAATTTTTTCTTATTTTTCAAATTTTTTTTTCGAAGCGGGGAGATATGCCCTGGAGCGGGAGATATGGCGGGAGATATGAAGGTTCAGGATATGGAAACCTCAAAATCAGGATACGGGATATATCTTACCAACTTATCTCCCTAAAACTCTACTTGGCATAGGATAAAACTGTTTATATTACCAGCTACTGCTCAAAAGTGTTTAAGTGACACCATTTCATGGACTCATCTTTTAAGTGACACCATTTCATGGACGAGTCTGAGTATACATCAGAATATCTTTGGTGGCCATTTGTTTAAAAAATTGGTCATATTGCAAAAGTAGGTCAAGTATATATCATGGATGAATATAACTCATGTTGCTTTAGGATAACTGATTATGATCAATATGTCAGCTAAACCCATTATTGATTCATTTTTATTTATTACAGTTTATGCATCTGCTTTGTTAAAGAACTTCATTTCATTTCTCAGAAAACACTTTTATGGTTTCATTTTTTGTGAGCAATATACATTTGGATAAATCTTGACAATTAGAAATACAATTAAACATGAATGTAGCATATGTTTAATTCATGATTTCCTCAAGAAAATTCCATTCTATCTTTTATATGTTCATATTCATGAGAGTGAAGTTTTGCATCATCAAATGCTTTATCAATTGTTTCAAAGAAATTTATTTGAAAAAGTGTACAAACCTTCACATAGGGCAATGCATGTAAGGTGTTTGCTGGACAGAAATCTCACACCTTTCTTTGACTGGGCCTGGAAATAAAAAAAATACTTGAACATGTACAGTATATGTATGAAATTGATAGTCCAGTAATTGGTATATTTCAATTCAACTACTGTAATGCACTTAAGTGTATGGCTAATTTATGTCATATGAAACTATGTTATGTCATAGGAAATAACTTTTTGTCACATCAATTAACTTTATGTCGTATCAAACTCATTTCACATTACATGTACTTTGTACACACAACCTCATATCAATATATGTATGTGTACTCGGGTATAACATGAAGTCCAGGCATTAACAAAGAACATTATCATAGACCACACTACAAAGTCCAATATACCACACTACCAAACACCACTCTGCCATACACCACACTACCAAACACCACTCTGGCATTAACAAAGAACACTATCATACACCACACTACCAAGTCCAATACAACACACTACCAAACACCACTTTGCCATACACATCACTACCAAACACCACTCTGGCATTAACAAAGAACACTATCATACACCACACTACCAAGTCCAATACCACTCTGACATACACATTACCTAGATGCACACTACCACACAACATTCTACCATATACCACATCAAAGTACATGAGAATAAAGCACTTACATCTGACCTCCCTTTCTGGGATCTATGATATGAGCCTACTCCTATACCAGAGTAGCCAAAAGAGACACTTGCATGAGGACTGAGGTAGATGCCATTGCCATACGCTGCTCCATGGAGCTACAATACAATGAATATAATCTATACTGATATTATAGAGTACAATATTATAAGTTATTGAATGATTTGAAGTGCAATACAGGATATATTCTGGTCGAGAAATTCCGTATTGGAACGAGACGAAGTCGAGTGCCAATACAGAATATCGAGACAGAATATATCCTGTATTGCACTTCAAATCATTCAATAACGTTTTTATCGTGTGGTCCTCTGTATTGCTACTGAGATCGTCCCCTCCGTACCAATATTTTCTGTATTGCAACGGAGATGATCTACGGGAACAATCTCAGTAGCAATACAGATTGGTACAGCACAAGAACTGACCAATCAGAGGTCTTCATTTTACAGATCATACGATAAAAATCTGTATTGCTACTGAAATTGTCCCCAATGATCATCTCCGTCGCAATACAGAAAATATTGGTTGGAGGGGACATTCTCAGTGGCAATACAGAGGATCACATGACAACACAGAGGATCACATCTCGATATTCTGTATTGGCACTCAACTTCGTCTCGTTCCAATACGGAATTTCTCGAGCAGAATATATCCTGTATTGCACTTCAAATCATTCAATAACTTATAGTACAGCACAGAAACTGACCAATCAGAAGGCTTCATTTTTCAGATCATACGATACTATTGGCTACAATAGGTATAACATACACAGTGTAAAGTTAAGTTTTGACACAGGTAGTGCTATAGGATTATTTTTAATAAAAGCAACTTGGACTTTACGTTTGAGTTTGCAAAAGAGTAGAAGTTAGTTGATATAATAAACTCTATGTAATATGTGTACAATTCCCAGTGTTAAGTGCCTCTGGATAAATGACTACATGTAATATGTGTAAGGCACCTTCTAAGTTATGATTTGCTCAAGACAATTCCATCAGACTATTGTAACATGTAGATATTAGATATTCATGAAAATAGTGTTTTGCTCTATCAAATCTATTACTACATGATTCAATCAATGTACACTGTACAGTACCTGGTGTTTAGTGCCTGATGCATTGATGAGTCCAATCCTCATGATTGCATGCCAATTTTCTATGTTAGAGCCACTGAAAATGGAATATACATCTGTACTACACATTAGCTACATACAGCATTATTAATTTGATTAGATTTTATCATTCTTTTTTTTCATAAAAATTTATTTTATTTTCCAAACATAATTTACAGCACAAATTGAATATTTATATTAATTCAATCCATTGATACTCATGGTTTGTGTCAAAGTCCATTGCATATGCTAAGTACCAGGCTATTAGTACTATTTGTTTTATTTATTTCTGGTTTTGAAGTAAAATATTGAAAAGGGAATTTGTAATAACTTATAATTCAGTTAATAAAAAGACAATCTTCCTTCTTTGCTGAATGATTATAAATAGTGCATTTTAGGAATCATTATTTGATTCTTCAATTCAACAGATTTATTTCATATTTGTCCATTTCGATTTTTAAATCTTACATGTGTTTTTATTGTAGATTTTTATATGGGGACATGAAATGCCAAAAGATGATTCGTCCCAACCCTGTAAATTTTCTCTGCATTTGTATTTATGAAATAAACATATTGATAAAAAATGATAATTAAAATATACTTACTGAAATGCAAATGTGCTCCCATGTTTTGCTTTCGCTGCCCGGAATATGCCCTCCTTTGCTGGAGGGCTACTCAGCAAAAGAAACTGGTGGGGGGTCAGCATGAACTTCACTTGCCGTTCTTCCGGCAGTTTCACGATATGTGACCTATTACTGGAGATAATCCTGGAATCATAGATATATGTTTAACATGGTACAAAATATTCAGTGCCAAATATGTTCATTGTTTACAATCTTAAAAATTAAACATCAAAGGATAGGTATCGATATGGAGAACTGAATTCAACAATGTTTTCTCTTAAACCAATCATTGAAAACATTCTGTAAAAAAACATGGTATTTTATGTAATGTTGACTGATTGACAACAATTTAATGCAAAAATTATTCAGAAATATTTTATATAACTGTTTTTGTTAACTTTTTTTTTGTTTTTTTAGTGCAATTGTTTTTGCTTCTTTCTACCAATTCTTGAGAATGAAATAAAATGTCTTTTCGAACCTTGTTGGAACAAAATAGCATATACAACATGTTTTTAGACCTCTCAATATTAAGGAATTTTTGGTTGATTTCAAATAAGTATTCAAAAAATTAAAACAAAATCCCCCCAAAATAGATAAAAATCAAGAAAAACCTTTTATTTCATTAACAAGATACTTTTTTAAAATCAACCAAAATTTCCTTTGTACAATTACAATATTGAGAGACCTAAACATGTTGTGTTTATGTCATTTTGTTCCAATGAGGTTCGGAAAGATGTTTCATTTCACTCTGGAAACATGATACTAAGAACAAAACAAGTGTTTCATGTGTTTTCTAAAACAATATAGATGAAAGTATGTATATCAATTTCAAATTATATTGCTACCATTCAAAAGATGGCCATTAAATTGTAAGATTTTCAGAAATTTTTGATGACTGGTTTAAGAGAAAAGTGTGTTCAAAAAGTTCACCATATCAATACCCATTCTTTTCAGAACCTACTGAGTCAATCTAAAACCTCTCTGGTCAGACTGTATTTATAATCTATTTTAGCAATAAAATAACAAATATCATCTTGCCAACTGCCATTATCTCACCATTGCAACAGTGCATAAGCCAGCTTATGACAACTAAATCTCGACATTATTGAAAAATGAATCAACCAAGCTTATAAATACTAAATCTCACCATTGCAACAGGGGATATGCCAGTTTATGACCAGCGTCAAGTTCACGCTTCAAGTTGGCGCCCTTGGAGGTCATCTCACGCATGGACATGAAACATTCTAGGATCTTTTCAACAGTTTTATAATCCTTATTCTGAAACAAAATTATTGAAAAGCAAGGCATTAACAGACAAAATGTCACTACCTTCCATTTGTTACAGACTCCAAATGCTGACCACCAACCAATGAACACTGTCTACAAAAGAACTTGGAGACTGTAACAAAATGTCACCACTTGTGGAAATTATATATTCTTACCATTATACATTTTATCATTTTATGTTGATTGAATACCCTTCAATTGTTCATATCGAGTCAAGAACTAAATTCCCTCAATTCTTTTCAAGAAATAAATTCTTTCATGATTGTTCGACTGTTCAATTGATTAAGACTGTAGACCCATACTGTAGTGGTTCAAGTGATATATTCCCTAAATGAAATTCAGGAGATACAACATACATAATACCTAGAGCACATTTCATTACCTTGGGATGTAGCGCTAACTCTGTTGGGTTTGATGGATCAACGATGGTTGGAAATGGATCAAATATCTTTTCTCGTCTATTATGGCGACATGCTGCATTACACATAGCTATTAGGAGATCAACCACCTAGGAAAAGCCATAGAAATATTAATAAGCATGTATAGTCTATGTACCATATATCTACAGTTAAATATGATGTTTCGGAAATCCTCTGGAATCGATTACTTTTACATAATAATTAAATGAATGAACACCAAGTAGCATTTATTATAAATAAACCTATTCCAATGAATGTTCGAATAAAAATCTAGAGATGCTTTTTTCTAAATTCTTTTAACTTTGATCAAGAATTTGAGTCAGAACTCCTCTATCTTAAATTTCAAGATCGGTGTCTACTCTGGCAATTACCTCAGCACCAGTTGCAATGTCCTCTGCTGCATCTGACATAACTCCAAGGGTTTGGAAGGCAAATACACACAATTCTCTGGCACACACTGCAGGCTAGAAAACATTTTCAAATTAGCGCAAATGATATGAATATTACAAAATAATTAACAAAATAATTATGGGTAACTGAAGTTAATAGCAATATGTCAATCATACAGATTACACAGACTATATAAGGGTATGGAAGGCAAATACACACAATTCTCTGGCAGTCATACTGCAGGCTAGAAAACATTTTCAAATTAGCGTAAATGATATAAATATTTCAAAATAATCATTGGTAACTGAAGTTAATAGCAATATGTCACTAATACAGGTTACACAGACTATATGGTTTATACTTCTTGAACACTTCAAAAGTACTAGATACCTGTTTGTTTTAAAAGTATTCACATAAGAAAATAATGAGGAAACGGTATGAGATACCTGCACACCATGTGTGTGCTTGTTTTAAAAACATGCAAATACTTTAGAAAAGACGAAAGAGGGGGGAATACTCACCTTTAACATTGCACCATTTTGAAAGACATGAGGTTCATCACAGACAACACAATACTCATTCAATGTTGGCACTCTTTGATATGCATATCTCATCACCTACAGTACAGTACAAGCACTTTATGGGACATTCAGTTCACCTATATGAGACCTTCAGCTTTTGATTAAAACTTTATTATATAGGCATAAAGCATAGTGCACTATATCTATATAACATTATTTACAATTACATTCCAGTCTCACATGTTTTAACTAATTAAATAATAATAATAAAAAAGCACAAAATATACATTTCTTTACATTTCTGTTCATAAGGGGTAAAGTTGTCTTGAGTCTCATGTTTCCGTTTGTGACTATTTCTTAAAATTCGTTAATAATTGAAAAATATTGGTCTATGGTTGTACCTGAACTAAAAAGCCCTCCTCCATTTGAGGGATTCGCTTGGCACATTTGCCTACTGCAGTAGTACTTGGCTTGAGATGTAACTCATCACTCTGTCCAGAACTATCATTTGCTGCTTTAGATGACTTAGGCTTATGTTTAGACTGTTTTCTGTAAAAAATTGTGTTCAAGCAATTAGATATGTATAGATGTTTTTAATTTGTGACTTTCTCAAATATGGTATACTGTGGGAGATACTGATATGTTTCAAACTGAAAAAAATTCCCAGAATGCTTACCTGGATGGTCGAGGAGGAGGTGTTGGTGCAGAATTCTTTGGTTTGGCCCCTTGTGCTGAGGATGCTGGTACAAGATTCTCCTCTTGCATTGAGTCATTCACACTAGAATTAGACATCAAAACTATTTGATCATTGTAATAAGCTAATGAGGTAATAAATGCAAGAAGTTATGGGTGATCCATAGCCCAACCAATCAAATCAACAGTTTCTTAAATTCATTTATAGTATGAGCCAATCAAGTTCAAATGGCCCAGCAGTCCAGAGCACTGAACATGCTAAGCTAGACACAGTTGCCATTAGCATGACGTTGTGAGTTCCAGAGCTCCTTGCAATTATTCATCAATGACAGTTGACTGGTCAACTATCAGACTTCCTTATTACTCAGCCTAACACATGATGGATCCTTGAACCAAATTTGTGTCCCAGTCCTAGTTTACACGTATTAATATGCCTGACCCACCCCATGGACCAACATGGACCAACCCAGCTTGAATCAATGTGACTCGCAACCAATCCAGTCCTAGTAAACATATACCTTACCTTTCTGGAGATGTCACCAACAGATTCAGGGCTTCATCAATGTTACCCCTAGCAATCACAAGAGCATTTCTAGTGACATCACGTGCGAAGCCCATCTCTACAATACTGTTGATGCTTTGTTCTTGTGGTTGATATAACCCGGCAGGACTGTCTATACCTCCCATATTACCAGGCCTAGGAGAACACAATGAAAACATGAAGGATAGTACCATGTTAATACAAGCTGGAGTTGACATCATTGCTCTTATCTGGGGGCTTTGCAGTTGTTTGCCATGCAGGTCAAAATATTAAACCTTGCAAAACCCTTGTTAAAAGTATCTGGTTGAATTTCCTTTTTAGAGATGCTGTTCTAAATCTTTTCTTAATTTGGGGACACAAACTAAAATATATTTTTACATCAGTCGTCATAGCATCGAAAAAACAGATCAACCAATAAGGATAGAGAAACAAATACTGCTACACATGACAATTTTACTTACTCAGAAAGAAAGGACTCAAACTTGGCTTTCTTAGACTTGGATGGTGGTGGTGGCTTGACAACTGGCTTTGTTTTTTTGGTTGACATGGTTTCGTTACTTATATTCTTCCACTGAGACATTACAAACAACTCCATTATCCTGAAAATGCAACAAAATGTATTGTTTTACATTTCAGACTTTCAGAACATTTCTAGGTACTTATTTGTATTTTCAACAAATACAATTATGATTCAATTATGAATTTCACATATTAATTCACTACATTAAATCAAGAAATAGCGTGGAATATTTTTATTTACACTTTAGACATGATATTTTCAGGTATAGTGAACTGAAAACTGGTTGATAGACTCCATGTCACATTTCTAAAATGCTATTACGAAGCTGGCCCTAGAGAGATATTTTATTTCATATGGCAAGTATATTTGCATTCCGTAGTCTCGTTCTTGTATAACTGGACATGTGACAACCTAAAGATGTTAACGTCTTCTGATCATTACTCAATTGATCAGTTCAATTGACTTTGAAATTAGGATCGGCTATGTACACAACAAGTGTAATTTTTCTTGGGGATGATAATTTTTCAGAGATAACATACTTTTTCACTTGCACTGCAACACCAGACTTCTCTTTATCTTTCATGGAATGCTGGAACACCTCAACCTTAGGCTCTGCAAGTGAATATACACCATGGATTAAACAATTGAATTTGGCAGGGATCTCCTTTGTTCTGAAGCCCTCTAGGCACCATACCCAACTGAGAATTTGAAAATCATACTGCATCAACATGAACATTAATTTGGACTCATTCCTGTTCCTGAAAACATGAATTTTACCAGATTTGGTCATTTTTGTTCAAGTATAAATACTTCGAAAGGATTATTGATAAAAGTTTACCTGTAGCATCTAGGTACCTAGATAGAGATAGATGAAGACGTATCACAAGTGGTTCATCTCGGACAACTTTCCAAGCCTTCGCTATCTCCTCCTAGAACCAGGCAGAAACAGCAATTTAACAAAATACTTAGTCTAGCTACAAGCTCTTGTGACTCCCTCCCCCTCAACACCTTCCCACTATGTAAGAAGGTGTTTAGTCTAGTAGAGGGAGTGGACACAGAGTCTTGGAGCTAGGCTACAAAATACTCTTTTACAATCTTTATAATGTACATGTATAAAGCTGACATCCCCTCAGCAGTGAGCATCTTAGCATGTGTGGTCTTCACTGCATTTAAACAGGAGCCAAGTGAACAAAGATGCGCTGTGAGGCCCTCATAAATATTACAGAGCAAAATGTTTGAACTAACCACTTGAATTCGCCATAATCTTTTCATGACTTATGAAAGAATAGTTATTGGGATGTCAGCTATTACTGTTGTACAGTTATACCACATTTAATATCTGTCATTATTCATGGATAATTCAAATGTTTTAAATCAATAGTTAGAAAACAACATTAATATAGCGGCAACTTACATCAAGGAATGTCATATCTACCATTAGCTCTACATCAATATCATCAATAGTCCCAAACATTCTGAAAAATAGAGAAAATGATTTGTTCTTGCATTTTTACTCCATATTTTATGCCCCTTTCTGTACTGCTACCATCAATCTGCCACATCATCCCATTAAAAGGTATTTTTTACATTTTGAAGAAAGAAAGTGGTTTTTAAAAGATTAATTAGCAAATATGTTTTGACATATACTCTATTATTTCATGTTCAGAACATGGAAATAACAGTATATTATAACCCACCTTTCATTAATACTTTTGGAACCATAGAGAAGCTTCACTCTGTCAATATCATCCAACAGCAATGGGTTCTGAACCTCTTCCCCATAGTTCTGCATAAAAGAATTTCACAGCTGAATAAATGTTGACAAAAAATAAATTATTCTATTGATCCTTCCCTTCTCTTATCATTTTTGTAATATATAAATATTGGGGGATCGTTTGATGAAAATATTGTTTTGTATGTGAGAACTGTCAAATATTACACTGACCTACATCGCTGAGTACAGACAAAACAAAAAATGCAAAATGAACATTTTCCAAACTGAAATTGTCTTTCATGTTGACCCTCTCCCGTTTAACTACATTAGCTATCAATATTTGAAGATATTCCCTCAGTACCATGTCTCCGTTTTCATTGTAATAATCATCATAGTCTTCATTCTCATCAGAATGTTCACTGGACATGTCTGTACAGTCAGTATAGTGGGAGGCTACAGATTCTTTACTGATCATTCTCTCAACTGATGGTGGCTTATAATCTACTTCCATTATGTCATCGTCATCAAAGTACGGCAGTGCAATGTTCATGTCCTTGTAGTACTCTATAATGTAAAAGTATATATACATGTACAGTGAAACCTGTTTAATCTGAACATGTTTGGCTTACCAGGTGTTAACATTTCAAGTTTTTTCTATGTGTGCTTGTCAATTCAAATCTTGAATTAGAGAATACAAATTTGGGACAGGGAAAGGTGTTCACAAATAGGGGATAAAAACAATATCTCTCTGTCATCATATATCCTAACTTTACCTTTTATTGACAATAATTTCAACAAACAGTAAATGAAAAAAGTTCAGACATTCCTAAAGGATGTTAACCAAGCCATATAACTGAAATATTCAGATATTTCAAGCTCTAAAGTCCCATTCTAATTATATACGTACCTCTAGAAATTCTGTTGAATATCAGTGGGATCCTTGCCCCTATAACCTCTGTATGCTCTGGCCGGTCAGATACAGTGACAACTGTATACTCTATAATTATAAAATGGCAACCATGTTTTCATATTTCTTAGTCATAAAAAGCTGAATACAAATTTCTATTTTCCCTTATCTAAGCTGTATTATTTCACAGAAAGTTTGTACTTCCTGGTCAATAGCTCATAGAAGGTCCATGTACTTTATATGTATTCGATTTAAAACCAGTTTTGTAAAAATAAGATTGATGACAGAAATCTTCTTGTGTGAGTTGTGACATTCATTATGTTTTCTGTACCATGATAAAACTATATTAACATGACAAAATGTCACCACCTAGTTCAAACCTAGTTGCTCAGAATATTATTAGTTCAATCTTAAATTAGATTTGAATTTATGAGAACTTGTAGATGATTTCGAAAAGAAATTGGTCAATTTGAAGCAAGCGAAAAATACCTTTTGATCTTTGTTGACCTTGAGAAGATCATTGAAGGTCAAATCTCAAATCTTAAGTCAGATTTGAACTTCTGATAACTTCTAGATGATTTTTTTTTAAATTTGGTCAATTTGAAGCAAGTTGAAAAAAGACCTTTTGGACCTTTGTTAACCTTATTTACCTTGAAAAGGTCATTGAAGGTCAAATCTTAAATATAAAGTCAGATTTGAACTTCTGGAAACTTGTAGATGAATTTGAAAAAAACTGAAATCAGTCTAAACAGCATTTGTTAAGTCATTGAAAGTTTTAAGAATTTGTTACAGACGTCAACCGCCACCCGCCAATTACCAACCACCACCTACCATTCGCCAATAGAAGCCACAAAAATTGAAGACTATAACAATAAAAACTTATTTGTAGCTTTAGAAATGAATATCAATTAAAACAGCTTTAGAAATGTATGTTTACTGTTTGGGAATTGGCTAGAATGAGTGAATTTTTTATACATGACTTCATAATATATAATGTTAGTTTAAGACCCAAAGGTCAATCTCTGTATGACTACTGGATATATCACAAAACATATTATTTCTTACCTGCATAGACATAAGAGGATACAGTATATCACATACCTGGGTAGTCATTACTGGACATATTCAAAGTGAATGTCTTCATAGTGTTAATGGAGTTGTACCTGAACATCATCGTCATATCATTTAATTCAAAATCTGAAATAAATAAAAGGTCAGTGATTTTGATTTTGATGAGATGAAAACTTGCAATTCAAATTGTGAAGTGAAAAAATGCTGGCTTGTTGTTTTCAAATTTTATGATCACGACATGCATAAAACGCACAGTAATTCATGATTGGCATAAGGCTACAATGAACAGTAGTGGAAGCCTTTAAGAGAAGGTAAGGCATGGGTACCCCCATGAATGTGGGGTTGACTTTTCCTGTTTTTTCCCACATGAGGGACATGATGATCAATAGCGTTGTCGCGATTAATCGATACATCACGATATACATCGCCAAAGCTGATTCTGGCGATGCATCGATGTCTGAAACAAAACATCGATGTTTTAAAAAAAATTAATTTGCTAAAAATCACCCTTTCTTATCTGATGCAAATCGCTTACCTTTCGCATGTCTTATTTCATATTTAGATGTTTTCTGAAATTCTTTCGCTTTAAAACTGTTTCAGCTAGTCGAAATGAACCATTAATCTAAAACAATTTACTTTGCTTTCATTTCACCATTACTAGAAGTTCCCGGATGTACCTGCGTACTCTTATTAATTCGTTCTGTTCGGTATTTTAGTGCATTAGCATTCGGTATTTCAGTGCATTTTTCTCCGACTTTTTCTCGATGTACATCGCGATGTGCATCGATGTTTACTACTGAAAATTGCCGATGCATCGATGTACGATTATGGCACATCGCGACAACACTAATGATCAATAGACTGAATTCTCAAGATATTCAGTCTAGACTAGGCATCGCATGGGGTCGCATTTTCAAGTAGCTACTTGAAAGTAAGCTAATGTCAGAATGAATGATGGTGTCTATTGTCAATGATGAAAAAATCAAGGAAAATGAAAATCAAAAATGAAACCAAAACTCACCAACAAATGGACAGTTTGCATCAGCCTGTGTTGCATCGACGACAGTCCGGTAATCTAGTTTTATTCTGTCTATTCTTGAAGACATTTTCAATTAATCTTAGTGCAAATATAAGCTTATATATTGTATAATTTGAATAAAGCATGTAACATTTTCATATCATGCAGAATATTTTATTTACTTCCGTTTAAAATGTCCCGGATGAGATAGAAGTCGCTATAGCGAAACGACTTTCTTTATTTTCGTAGTTCTCTTTGAGAAACCGGGAATTTTCAGCGAAATTCAAGAGGCAAACTTGTTCATTTACCTTTGTGAGTGGGTAATTTGGTATTTCTTCACCCTCAATATGCACATTTATTTAAATAACTAACATGTTGTGTCTAACTAGGTTTTCTGTACAGCGATCAGCTATCAAAAGTCTTAGATAATTCACTCAGCATTTCATTTGCTGAAAAAACTCATGTCCTTACTTACAGTGCTGGTATATATTAATTGATCAGTCGTTTAATTGGCATATTTTCTTGAATTTTAACATTTAATGTCCTAAACTCCCACAAACTGCAGAAAAGTATACCCCTTAAATCATATTTACCAAATTGAGTGTCTCCAAGGCTTCACACCAGCGTATGCATAATGCATTTGTCAAAAAAATTAAGTAATCTGATTGGTCTAAACTTTGCTGCACATGCGCACAATGTGTGCCATGTTTTTTTCTAGTGATTTCGTTTCGTTTCTTGGAGTTTGCATTTCAGTGTAACTTCCGCAAAAATGGCGTAGAATGGACAAAATTAACAGGTAAAATCACTTCGAAATTTCAAGAGAACTTTTTACTTATAATAGCAAAACTTTTGTTTTATTTGTGCATTCTATCTATCAGATAAGAGTTTCAGGGGTATGTAGGCAAATTCATTTTGGTAGGAGCACTCTGTTTAGTTTGAAAACGCACCCTGTATTATTATATATCAGCACTTTACTCGAGTCTCTAGCTTACAGCTAGACGAAACTTCATTGATTTCGTATGTACTGTGCTACACGCACCTACACGCACCTAAAACTCATTTTTAATAAATTTTATAAATATTTTTAAGAATATTAATCATATTTAGGATGAAGCGTTGCTTGTTTGGATTAGATATTTCAAAATTTCATTTCGGAGTTTGACACATGGTGAAATTTTCTCGCTGTAGCTAAAAATGGCTTCCGGTTCTGGACGTGAATAACATTTGAAATTATTCTCGCTTAAAGAAATCAAATATAACAATAGATTCAGACGGGGATGTGAGCTGATGTTCTTCAAATCTATACATACAAAGGTATATTTCATATTATTATGCCATATTTACTGTGCGTGTGACACAATGATTTACAATATTTATAATACTAAGGCAGCTCAATCTTCCTCCTCAAAGCCGGAATATAGAGAAGGCTTTGGACCGAAGTAAGTCCTTACAGTTGGGGACAAAAATAAATGACAGGTCGATTTTCGATCACCATTTCCTAATTATGGTGGTCTGAAAGCCCATAATTTCCAATATTGTCTAGATATATATCCCTTAAAATTTGTATATTTTACATTTTGTATAATCTCATCCACTGATGTATGGCCTCTTGTAAATTCTCTTATTTTTAACATGGGAAATCCTCACTTCAGCAAATCCACCTGTCATTTATTTATGTCCCCAACTGTAGCTGCAGTCTATTCTGGCTAAACTATTCACTATAATTGGATAAGGAAAAAAAAGCACTGTAGGATAGAATCTTAAAAATGCCTAAATGTATACTACTGCCCTGTCAACCTTCACGCATCGCATTAGGCGTGATTGTCACGCGACACGCATTTGCTGGAAAAATAGAAATCACGCATCAATTTAGCGTGTATGATCAAATATCATGCAAATCAAGCATTTTGTTGAAATTTTTAAAAATCGTTTTTTGTGAAATGCCGACACGGTAAAATACTGAATGGCGAAAAAAAGCGAACGCATTCCGTTCGGTCTTTGCACGTGATTGCCGTTTATGTCACGCATTTGGTACAATATATGTGTATATAACATGCATTTGTTTCGAAAGTATTCACATCTACCCTGATTCAAACAACCCTACAGAGCAAGTTTATCCAAAATGGTAGTAATCCAACCACTACTTCAGGCCCGTAAGACACTTTTCTCCAAGGGGGGTGCGGTTTTAAATAAAGAGAAAATAAAGTTGTCAATTTTTTGCCCCGTAAATCAAATTGCGGAAGTCAAAGGGGGGGGGGGGTCAGTTACTCCCTATATTGGGGCCACTCAGCTTATTTTGTAGTATCTTACAGTATTGTTTTCATATTGTTTTTAGACTAAATATTGTATGAACAATTTGGAGAAACGCTGTAATATGGGGAGGGTGTACTCCAATGGCATAAATGCCCGAGAACTTTTACCAAATCAAGATCACATTTAGTGATTTCTGGACCCTTTCAAGGTATTTTAATTGAAATAGAATCTATTTATAAGAAATTCAGATTGTTTCAATCATTTTCTTCTTAGGGGAGCGAGGGGGCAGCAAGGAAAATTTTACTAATTCAAGATGCTGTCTGGTTAATTCTGAGCACTTTTAATGTGTTTGAGTAAATGAATGCTTTAGTTTTTGGGCGGGGCTGCCAGAAATTTTTATGATTTCATAATGTCACTTGGTGACTTCTAGGCACTTTTAAAGTGTTTAAAATTAACAAATGCAACTTCCAAACTTGTGAGGAGTGACCCACTCCCCCTAGAAAAATTTACACTTTTGAGATCTTATTAGGTGCTTTCTGGGCAATTTTAACGTGAATGAGTCAATAAAAAAATGTGAATTTTTTTTCAAATTCTTTATGGGGGTATCAAAGAGAATGAGAGGGTGAAGTGGGATGGAGTGCCAGACGGGGAGCAAAGGTTTGTCCCCCAGAAACATTGACCATATCAAGGTGCCATTTGATGATGTCTGAGACAATACAAGAAATTCAGAATTTTCTCTATTGTTTGGTAGGAGATGTGAGGGGTGGCCAACTCTTCTAGGAAATTTTACAATTTTAAGATGATATTTGGTGCTTTTGGGCACCCTTTAAGTGTATGAGTCAATCAATAAAAAACAATTACATTTTTTCAATTTTGGGGGGTTGTTAAAGGGGGGGGGGGGGGGTGCCAGAGGGGGAGGTGGGATTAGGGTGCCAGAGGGGAGCAAGTGTTTGTCCCCCATATCTGCCCCCCAGAAACATTGACCATATCAAGGTGCTATTTGATGAAGTCTGGGCACTTTAAAAGTGTCTGAGACAATGCATGAAATAAATTCAGAATTTTTGTCAATTGTTTTGTGGGGGATGTGAGGGGTGGCTTACTTCCCTGGAAAATTTTACAATTATAAGATGTTATTTGATGCTTTCTGGAAACTTTCGAAGTGTATGACTCAATAAAAAATTTGAAAAAATCACAATATTTTGGGGGATGTTAAGGGGGAAGGGGGAGGTGGGGGAGGATGCGAGTTAGTGTTAGTCTCCCAGAATCATTGACTATATCAAGGAGCTACTTTGAAAGTGTCTGAGACAATACATAAAATAAATTCAGAACTTTACCATTGCATTGAGGGGGGGGGTGTGAGGGATGGCCCACTCCCTCTAGAAAATTTTACAATTTTAAGATGCTATTTGGTGCTTTCTGGGCACTTTAAAAGTGTATGAGACTATGAAAAAAATTACAAAAAAATTATTTTTTAAATTTTTTTTGGGGGGTGTCAAAGGGGGGTGCGGTCGCACCCATCGCACCCCCCCATCTGACGGCCCTGTACTTGCTGAGAAATCTGAAGAACATGTAAAGAATTGATTAAATGTCAAAATGTCAACAATTTAAATTTTTACCTCAAAATTATTAGCTCTACCCTTATAAAAAATTCAACCTTGAAAGTCCGAATTTAAACCGTTGTACAATCATTGATCCGATCATTTATGCAACCATGCCAACCGTTACAATGCAACCATTACAATTTTGGTTGTAAACTCATTGAAAATGTTTCAATCATATGTAACCATTGTAAACGCTTGACAATTTTGATTGAATTTCTTGCAACCGTTTCAATCGAATGCAACCCTTGAAACCTATAGCAATATTATCTCAATACAACATAAAATAATTATATTGCTCTTTAAAATATATATTTCAAATGTATGTATTTAATGCATACAAGTCAGAATTTTTTTGATTAAAAAGATATTTAAAGTATTGAAATAGTTTAGTAAACTTGTCTTGTGAATGAAAATATATTGAACCAATTTCCATCTAACCTTGAAGGATGGTGATTGTCCCACTCACATGTATATTATCTAGATAACAGCAATGCTAAGGCATAGCAAATCCCCTCGCTGTCATGACAATCATTTTTACAAAATCCCTTCACTACTTTTTCAGTCATTGCAAAAACATTTGAAATATTTTTGATTGGGACAAGTCTTGAATTTTACAAATTCAGACACTTATACTTCACCTTCACCTGAGTAATTATCACAATTATGAAGGAGGGAAGATCTGTCTGGAAGGAAGAAATCCTTCAATCAGAAAATAATCTGTTTATTGATTTGATATTTTTGATTTGATAGAGAAAATGCAATCAGACACTACAGGATGTTTTTTAAATAATTAAGTCAATAAGCATAACTTAAAAAATTCTGATTACAGAAAGACTCAGTCTCTTTAGTTTGATTAGAGTCTGCTTTGAAGGATGTGTCTAAAGAAACTTCATTAATCCATTAATCCATAAACAATACAAAAATAATTCGGTAAGGCAAAACAAACCTTATAACAGAGAGACTCTCAGTTTGATTAGAGTCTGCTATGAAGGAAGCATCCTATGTAATTTAATTATTCCATACACAGAATATGATAAATACATTGCCAAAGAAAATTTCCCATATTCTCCTCCAGATTTTTTCAAGTTTAGAGTTCTGAAAAATAAGCCCTGTTTTTTTTGTTTTTTTTTAATCATTGACACATATTATTTAAACTGAAAACAAGTTTCAGTACAAATGCTATGCCCTAGTGAATACAGTAAAGCCATGAACTTTCAATTTATTGAATGCCCATGGTAAAAAAAAACTAAATAAAAATGAAATAAAAAATTCTGAAAATAGTATTTGCAGTTTCATATACTTGCTATTTGAGATTTCTCAGCACTTATTAAAGTAATTGAATAAAGAAATAAACCCTCAAAAATCTGAAAACACTTTTTAAATTTTTACCCCCCCCCC